CATTCATTTGCCCACACAGTCGTATCACCATCAAGCGTGCATTTATTCCGACTTGTTTTTTGATTCCACTTGAATCACCTAAGCAGGTCCTTGCAGTTGCTGCGGCATTACTTTACTTCTGCCGACCCTGATATTTGCTCTACACTCTACAAATGTCATTTTGGTATGTTGGATATCCACGCTGCTTCATCATTTCAAGTGATGTTTTGCACTTAAAAATATGGACACATAAGATCACATCAGGACTCTTCGAGCCTGTGGTAAGGGTCAAACTTTGAACGGAATAGCGTTATACTGAAAAAAATCCACTCTGGCAAGACCAGTAGAAGATAGTAGAAGTCAAGGTTAGACTTGGACACACTTAATTATCCTACATTCAGATGGGTTCATCATCCTGAACTGGGCTTGGACCCAGAAATTGCGGGGGTCCGGCGCCGGCGGTGTGTTTTTTCGCAGGGGGCCATGACTGGATCCAAACCGGGCCAGGTAATGGTGGAGTTGTTTGGATTTTTATTGGAAACATATGGAAAGTTTGGGGGCATTGAGCTATTCCACGGAAACTGGCCAGCGTTCAAGATTGTACTACATCCCTTGCCGGCGCCTCTGCTCAGAGCGCCCTTTGGTTTCCCCACCTCCCCATAGCATGAACATGATGACCGGTGCAGCTGAAAGAAGTTTATCCTTGACGGATCGATGTGATTTGCGGGTGCGACTGATCACCGCATTTTTTGAGTTCAAAGTCACATTTCAAAGGCGTAGTGCCGGGGTATTGTGTAAAGATCTATAGAGTATAAGCCAATGGTATTCCATTTTGATAGATACCCTCCCAGTGGTCAATAATTAACATTAATATACATTAATTAACTATATAATTGATGTCAACTTCCCCGTAGATAATGTACAAGTTACACAAGTACATTTACCCTCATGTAAGCTAACATAGATGTGGAAAACCCATATGGTTTCCCATTTGGAAAATCATCTGCAAATGGTGGGTTTTCCACATCTAGTTGACAGGAGGGTACAACGACCTCACCGCGATCTCACTGGAATTGAGGTTAGGGACAACTAATTGCAAGTAACTATCCCCCTATTTTATCATATTTTATATTATTCATTCGAAATCACCATCAAATCATGGTCCTATCCTAATCTATCTGAGTTTTCCGTACCTCCGGCGCCATTTTTCACCCGCACCATGCCATGGTCCCTCACTTCCCTGCAGCGTGCGGGCGCCGTGTGCGTCCGGCACGGCTGGCGACGGTGCCTGCTGCTGTACAGCGACCGGTCGCCAGCGCTGGAGTTGGTGCAACGCTCCTTGCAGGCGCCTTGGGCCATGTTTTGGGAGGTTTTGTATCCCATCTATTAGCTAATAGATGGTTAATTAATAATGGTTGATAAGCATCAGTTATAATAGATGGTTAATACTAATGGTTGACCATCTATTATAACCGTTATTAACCATCTATTAACTCATTAATTTGGGTGTGAGACAATGCCATAAACGCACCATCCCCCGAACCATAAATAGGTGGTATGTTTACCATTCCCAAATGGGTGGTTTATTGTTGTTTTGCCCACATTATATTAAACACCCCCTAAATGGTCCCAAAGATAGTTCCGTTCCGCGACCAGAAAGCATGGTTTCTGGGGGTGTTTAATTACTATGGGGATGGGATGAGATTGGATTGGATGTTTGTGTGATGCCAGCTATGCCTTTTTTAATGGTTCATGGTCCTAAATTATGGTAGATATATCCATATATAGTGGCATATTCATGGGATATCTTCATGGGATGATTGTGGCTGGGTGAACTTCCCGAAGTGGAAATTCATGGGATTCCAAGCCACTCCACTGTTGCTGATGGGAAACTTATGATGAGAATCTGGGTTCCATTTTTGAGTTCTTGTGATCCCTGAAGCCTCCAAACATGTGCAGCCCATTGCAGCCCCCACTTTCTCATGTTTGGCTGTTACCTGCAGGTTCCCTCCTATCGATCAATCATCCGGTGTTATTTCTGTTTTTCTAAACTGGTATTTTGGTGTTTAGGAACCACCCATTTCACCCCCTTTTCATCCTACCTCATGTTGGCTTCGTGAAGTTTACTAGGTAGCCAATACCAAACCAAGTGCTACAGTAACTCAAACCATAGCTCCCCCAATTCGAACGTGTTACCATAATTTTCTCCCTCAAATCAAATGGAAGTTCTGAAATTTCACATTCCAGTTCTGATAATTAACCCCTTTCTCTTCATAGTAAAAATCCTCATGATACAGATGCTAAAATCCCAATCCTCTATTTTTGGAAGCACCTAACTTGTAATAGGGAAGTAACCTGTAATTTTCATAAGTAAACCCTAAACCAATGATAACATCCAGTTTAACATCCATGTGAACATCCATTTCAACATCCATTTTAACATTCATGTTAACATAATCTTTAATATTCATGTCAACGTCCAGTTTAACATCCATGTGAATATTCAGTTTAACATCCATGTGAACATCCGTTTTAACATCCATGTTAACATCCATGTCAACATCAAGTTTAACATCCATGCGAACATACATTTCAACATCCATGTGAACATCCATTGTGACATCATGTTTAACATACAGTTTAACATCCATTTTAATATCCATTATAACATCCATGTGAACATCCATGTCAACATCCATTTCAACAACCATGTCAACATCCAGTTTAACATCCATGTGAACATCCATGTGAACATCCATGTGAACATCCATTTCAACATCCATTTTAACATTCATGTTAACATAATCTTTAATATTCATGTCAACGTCCAGTTTAACATCCATGTGAATATTCAGTTTAACATCCATGTGAACATCCGTTTTAACATCCATGTTAACATCCATGTCAACATAACAGGTCAACATCAAAATTTGCATCGTTTTTATTAACAATCCATGTCAAATCCAGTTTAACATCCTGGAACATTTCCCGTTTTAAACATCCGTTTTAACATCCATGTTAACATCCATGTGAACATCCAGTTCAACATCCAAATTTTCATCTTTTTAAACATCCATGTCAACATCCAGTTTAACATCCATGTGAACATCCAGTTTAACATCCATTTTAACATCCATGTGAACATCCATGTCAACACCCAGATTAGCATCCATGTGAACATCCATTTTAACATCCATGTCAACATCCAGTTTAACATCCATGTGAACATCCATGTGAACATCCATCCGAACATCCATGTGAACATCCATTTTTACATACATTTGAACATCCATGTCAACATCCATTTGAAAATCCATGTCAACATCCAGTTTAACATCCATGTGAACATCCAGTTTAACATCCATGTTGACATCCATGTGATCTTCCATGTGAACATCCAGTGTAACATCCCTTTTAACATTCATTTCAACATCCATGTGAACATCCTTGTGAGTATCCCTTTTAACATCCATTTTGCCATCCATGTGAACACCCAGTTTAACATCCATTTTGACATTCATGTTAACATTCATTTCAACATGAAGTTTAACATTTAGTTTCACATCCATGTTGACATCCATGTGAACATCCAGTTCAACATCCATTTTAACATTCATTTTAACATCCATTTTAACATTCATGTCAACATCCAGTTAAACATCCTTGTGAGTATCCATTTTAACATACATTTTGCCATCCAAGTGAACATCCAGTTTAACATCCATTTTGACATTCATGTTAACACCCAGTTAAACATTTAGTTTCACATCCATCTTGACATCCATGTGAACATCCAGTTTAACATCCATTTTATCATGTATGCCAACATCCAGTTTAACACCCTTGTGAGTATCCATTTTAACACCCATTTTGCCATCCATGTGAACATCCAGTTTAACATCCACTTTGTCATTCATTTTAACATTCATTTTAACATCCAGTTTAACATTCAGTTTCACATCCATTTTGGCATCCATGTGAACATCCATGTGAACATCCAGTTTAACATTCATTTTATCATGTATGTCAACATCCAGTTTAACATCGTGAGTATCCAGTTTAACACCAATTTTGCCATCCATGTGAACATCCAGTTTAACATCCATTTTGACATTCATGTTAACATTCATGTTAACATCCAGCTTAACATTCATTTTCACATCCATGTGAACATCCATGTGAACATCCAGTTTAACATTCATTTTGTCATGTATGTCAACATCCAGTTTAACATCCTTGTGAGTATCCATTTTAACATCCAGGTTAACATTCAGTTTCACATCCATGTGAATATCCATGTGAACATCCAGTTTAACATTCATTTCATCATGTATGTCAACATCCATGTGAACATCCTTGTGAGTATCCCTTTTAACATCCATTTTGCCATCCATGTGAACATCCAGTTTAACATCCATTTTGACATCAATGTTAACATTCATTTTAACATGCAGTTTAGCATTTAGTTTCACATCCATTTTGACATCCATGTGAACATCCATGTGAACATCCAGTTTAACATTCATTTTATCATGTATGCCAACATCCAGTTTAACATCCTTGTGAGCATCCATTTTAACATCCATTTTGCCATCCATGTGAACATCCAGTTTAACATCCATTTTGACATTCATGTTAACATTCATTTTAACATCCAGTTTAGCATTCAGTTTCACATCCATGCGAACATCCATGTGAACATCCAGTTTAACAGTCATTTTATCATGTATGTCAACATCCAGTTTAACATCCTTGTGAGCATCCATTTTAACATCCATTTTGCCATCCATGTGAACATCCAGTTTAACAGTCATTTTATCATGTATGCCAACATCCAGTTTAACATCCTTGTGAGTATCCCTTTTAACATCCATTTTGCCATCAATGTGAACATCCAGTTTAACATCCATTTTGACATTCATGTTAACATTCATTTTAACATCCAGTTTAACATTCAGTTTCATATCAATTTTGACGTCCATGTGAACATCCATGTGAACACCCAGTTTAACATTCATTTTATCATGTATGTCAACATCCAGTTTAACATCGTGAGTATCCAGTTTAACATCAATTTTGCCATCCATGTGAACATCCAGTTTAACATCCATTTTGACATTCATGTTAACATTCATGTCATCATCCAGCTTAACATTCATTTTCACATCCATGTGAACATCCATGTGAACATCCAGTTTAACATTCATTTTGTCATGTATGTCAACATCCAGTTTAACATCCTTGTGAGTATCCATTTTAACATCCATTTTGCCATCCATGTGAACATCCAGTTTAACATCCATTTTGGCATTCATGCTAACATTCATTTCAATTTCCAGTGTAACATTCAGTTTCACATCCATTTTGACATCCATGTGAACATCCATGTGAACATCCAGTTTAACATTCATTTTATCATGTATGTCAACATCCAGTTCAACATCGTGAGTATCCATTTTAACATCCATTTTGCCATCCGTGTGAACATCCAGTTTAACATCCATTTTGACATTCATGTTAACATTCATTTTAACATCCAGTTTAACATTCAGTTTCACATCCATTTTGACATCCATGTGAACATCCAGTTTAACATCCAGTTTAACATTCAGTTTCACATCCATGTGAACATCCATGTTCGTTTAACATCCAGTTTCACATTCGTCTTGTCATGTATGTCAACATCCAGTTTAACATCCTTATTTGTATCCATTTTAACATCCATTTTGCCATCAATGTGAACATCCAGTTTAACATCCATTTTGACATTCATGTTAACATTCATTTTAACATCAAGTTTAACATTCAGTTTCACATCCATTTTGACATCCATGTGAACATCCATGTGAACATCCAGTTTAACATTCGTCTTATCATGTATGTCAACATCCAGTTTAACATCCTTGTGAGTATCCATTTTAACATCCATTTTGCCATCCATGTGAACATCCAGTTTAAACATCCATTTTGGCATTCATGCTAACATTCCTTTTAACATCCAGTGTAACATTCAGTTTCACATTCATTTTGACATCCATGTGAACATCCATGTGAACATCCAGCTTCACATTCGTCTTATCATGTATGTCAACATCCAGTTTAACATCGTGAGTATCCATTTTAACATTCATTTTACCATCCGTGTGAGCATCCAGTTTAACATCCATTTTGACATTCATGTTAACATTCATTTTAACATCCAGTTTAACATTCAGTTTCACATTCATTCTGACATCCATGTGAACATCCATGTGAACATCCAGTTTAACATTCATGTTATCATATATGCCAACATCCAGTTTAATATCCTTGTGAGTATTAATTTTAACATCCATTTTGCCATCCATGTGAACATCCAGTTTAACATCCATTTTGACATTCATGTTAACATTCATTTCAATTTCCAGTGTAACATTCAGTTTCACATCCATTTTGACATCCATGTGAACATCCATGTGAACATCCAGTTTAACATTCATTTTATCATATATGTCAACATCCAGTTCAATATCCTTGTGGGTATCCATTTTAACATCCATTTTGCCATCCATGTGAACATCCAGTTTAACATCCATTTTGACATTCATGTTAACATTCATTTTTAATTTCCAGTGTAACATTCAGTATCACATCCATTTTGACATCCATGTGAACATCCATGTGAGTATCCATTTTAACATCCATTTTGCCATCCATGTGAACACTCAGTTTAACATCCATTTTGACATTCATGTTAACATTCATTTTAATTTCCATTTTAACATTCACTTTCACATCCATTTTGACATTCATGTTAACATTTATTTTTAATTTCCAGTTTAACATTCAGTTTCACATTCATTTTGACATTCAGGTTAACATTTTTTTTTCATTTCCAGTTGAACATTCAGTTTCACATTCATTTTGGCATCCATGTGAACATCCATGTCATCATCCAGTTTAACATCCATTTTGACATTCATGTTAACATTCATTTTCACATCCAGTTTAACATTCAGTTTCACATCCATTTTGACATCCATGTGAAAATCCATGTCATCATCCAGTTTAACATCCATTTTGACATTCATGTTAACATTCATTTTCACATCCAGTTTAACATTCATTTTCACATCCATTTTGACATCCATGTGAACATCCATGTCATCATCCAGTTTAACATCCATTTTGACATTCATGTTAACATTCATTTTCACATCCAGTTTAACATTCAGTTTCACATCCATTTTGACATCCATGTGAACATCCATGTCATCATCCAGTTTAACATCCATTTTGACATTCATGTTAACATTCATTTTCACATCCAGTTTAACATTCAGTTTCACATCCATTTTGACATCCATGTGAACATCCATGTCATCATCCATTAAGTATAGTATAGACTAACCATAGTCTTTCCAGGACGCCGGCGTGTCCACGGAGTCCCACCTGGCATCTCCCTCGTTCGCCGCGACGCCGGAGCTGGTGGACGCCGTGGCGGCGGGAGCAGAGGCGGAGCTGGTGCTGGGCGTCGGCAACGGCGCCCTGTTGGACTTGGCCAAGGCGTGGCCAAAGGGGCAGTTCTAGCTACAAAATGTATCAAAATGCTACAAATTCATAGAAATCTCAAGATATCTCAAGAACAGTTTGTTTATAGATGCATGGAGGTGTGTAGATGTGTGTGGTGTGTATTTGTTTGTTTTTCTGGTGGTGATTCTTTCACAAAAATAAATTCGTAAGTGCTTTAACAAAGTACTGTTGGAAGTAGGTGGTCAAATATCAGATGTTTGAGATGGTGTTGCTGATTGGTTTCTTATTGTTTGGTTTATTTATTGTATAATTCCTTTCTAGTCATCAATATCTTGTGCCACCTCCCCGTAGTTCGCAGCATGCCATCGATTTGAGACAATCCAAGTGTTCTTTAGTGCAGATGTCCTCTTAGCACTGGTTGTTTGATGAATAGAGGGTCAGCCCAGCAACCCCCATCAGGCCATTTATGATTCCCATCATGTCCAGTAGGCCGTCGCCGCCATGACCCCCTTGGTGAAAGAAAGTCGACATGGCAGCACTGCACCTGGCTTCTCAGCCTTGACTGCGCGATTTCTGCTGGGTGAAGAGGGAGGGCATAGTTTACTCCCAGGCAGGGTTGGGATGTGTTGGGTTCATGATGTTCAATGATGCCGCTCTGAAAGTTGGATCCAACATTGTCACATGGTGATTTCTACATATTTCTACTATCTGATAATGTGAAGTTCCAGACCCTGAATGTGGAAACTTGGGTTAGCTGCGCGCTGGTTTTTTGCCCGTTTTCGGTCTGCCGGATCCATGTTCTGGAAAATCGATGCGCTCCCGGCTCCCTGAAACTTCACACCTGCAGAAGCCACCAGAAAGGTCGATGGATTCAGAGCCGCGCCATCGGTCAAAATCCGTGCGCCAGGTGCATCTTTGCCGTTGTTGTTGGTGCCCAGCCACGCCACCGTGGCCACCAGCAGTGGTCGATGTTTGCTGCGACGCAATGATGCGGTGGCCTCGTTGGTGCCGATGGCCGTGGCAGGGCCAGGACCTTTTGGTGTTGGGGTCGGTGCTCGGATGGCACATGTGGAGCTGGGAACAAGAACTTCCCAAAGGAATGCCATAAAGGTGAATATTTCATGCTGAAATACTAGATAATTTTTACACATGTGTATATTTTATGACTTGTACACAGCCATGAAAGAATTTAGATGGAAAAAGATGAGTTGCACCTTGCGTTTCAAGATCTTTTTGAGTACCGAGGGATGCTGAGCATTTCCATAGTAGGCTACAGGGTCATTGCAATATCCCCAGGCTGCCCGGAACAAGCATGGCAAAAAGCGACGTACCCTTTGCGAATGATTTGGAGAAATCATCCATTTAAATAGTTCAAAATGCCAAGTAAAACCAACATTCTTAGGGGGTTGCCAAACTTCCATGTTGGATTGCCGGAGGGTAAATTCCAAAGAAGCCACGTTTGTGCGAGGGTGAAACCTCAGTGACCAACACCACAGATGATTTTGATCATAGATGGTGCAGAGGGCATAACGGCTTAGATATGTATAGATGATTCATCCCACCATGTTACATCGACAATTAAAGAACCTATATGGCTCTAAACTATCTACTGTATGCATCAATTATTCTAGAATCTAGAATAATCTAGATAGCTTTATGGTGATATTATAGATGATTGCCTAGATTCACTTGGACGACTTGCCCCCATGTTATTCTTCCTGCCGACCCTAGGATGATCCCGATTGGCCCCCCAATCGACTGTCCCAATCGTGAACATACCAGAACTGGATGAAGGTAAATTGTTCAGCACAACCCCCCGTTCTTTATGCTAAAAAAAAATAGTATGTGTTCACCAATGACCAATACATCTACCCTCCAGTAGTCAAAAGTGGCAAGGGAAACTTCCACATTTATTATTGTCCCATGAAAACTTCCATTTATAAGGGATTGTCCATTGCCATTCATGTTTGATTACTGGAGGGTATGTCCCATATTCATCCTATTCAATCTATTCATATCCTACACATATTTCCTTAATTATGATTAATTATGTAGATATTTCATATATCATTGATATATCTATCATTGATCCATTAATGAATATCCCAGTATTTTCTCATTAAACCATATACTTATTAATACATGATTACCCTGCTACAGTATCATCCCATGATATATTAACACCGTGAAATCATATAAACTCATGCAAAAATCATATTGTTCCTATTGGTTCATCCTATTTGCTTCCCTTAAAACCAAGCAGCTCAGGTCTTCAGGCCACAGAAATCTTGGCCGACGTCTCAGTCACCTCCCAGCAGTCCGTGCGCGGCCGCGCGGCGGCCGTAGCGCATGCCATGAGCGTCTTCGTGGATGCGGCCGCGGCGGCCGCGGGGACCATCAAACAGAAGCAGTTGATGGATGACATGATGGTAGGAGTGGCTCATCTCGGGAAAATCTGGGGATGTTTTGAATCTTCAACTCATGAAGATGTTTCATGTAGATTTTTTCTTGAGCCAATCCTGGTTGGCTTTGCCTGGACTGTGGCCCCCTGGGCTTCGCAAATGACCCAGGTTGGCTCCAGCTTCAGCGCCCTGCGTCACCCCGACGCATCCGCCTACGACGCCCTGGACGCCACGTTGGCCGCGGGGGTTTGCGCCTCCGACGCCGACGCCAACGCGCGCGGGGAGCTGTGCGCCATCCATGCGCTGGCGGCCACCATGGTGGGCTGCCGGGACGTGAGTTTTCCAATGGCCTGCCGGGTCCTACTGCCTCCGGTGCTGCGGGTTTGGGCGGAGGAGGAGGACGGAGAATGGATTGAGAATGATTTTGAAATGTTTGTGGGTGGAGTAATTGTGTGTTTTGAGGATGTTTTTGACGATTGGTTAAGGGGCAGGGCGCTGTAGGATGGGCCAGGATGGGTTGAGCTTTGCGCAATTCCCCTTTTTTGGAGCCGAGGTGCTTCCACAATAAGTCTCAGAAAATTTCAAGTGTTTTTGTTCCAAACAATTATATATATATGCTCGAATTGTGAGAGCCTGCTTGCAGTCAATCCTGGACGTTCAAATTCAGGACTCGGAAGCACAAAAGTGCATAGCTGGCCTGTCGGAAGCCATGCTGGGACCTGCCAAATCTCCACACCATGCACTGCTGGCTTTGGCTGATTGGTTGCTTGAACTAATTTTCAGAGAGGGTTTGTCCATTTCTTTGAAGCAGCATCGACTTGGTGCCTGAGTACCATACATCGAAAAACATAATTAATTGTCCAGAAAAAATCCGGATTCGGATTTTCTATTGCCATCTTGCATTCCAAGAGTGCTGCGAATCCCTCAGAAAAAAGTCAAAAACTTGAAATGTCCCATATTCTAGCCGATTCAAGCCGTGTATGGTACATGTGGCTGTGCATGTCTGGCATGTCTCAAAATTCATCTTCTGGAGCTGCCATGTTGATTTTCCAAGAATCACTGCACCATATATTCCCATCATTTCCGCACCTTTTTAACACAGGTTGGATGGCGCCCTAAGCGCCGCGTCGCTGCCGTCGCAGCTGCCGCTGGCGCCCTTGGAATGTCCCGACAGTGCTGCTGCACTGCTGGCACTGGAGACTTTGACGTCGCCCGTGGCGCAGCAACGGCCGCAGCCCGGCTGGTTTGAGCCAAAGTGCTTGAGGCACCCTGGGGATCCCTGGGGGATTTTTTGGGAATCAGGGGGTGCTTGTGTATATGATCTGATGATCTAATTGATGATCTAAGCTTGAGCTAAGTTTAGGAAGGGTCTTTCATGGTCTTTCTGGAGGGTGGTGGGGAACAAGCTAAGTCAAGTTTTTGTGAAGTTTAGATGGTGTTTTTGGATTATTTTGTATATTAGATGTATATTTGCCACTCGAGCATACTTGCAATTGATTGGAAGTAAGTGTATAAGGCGTTATGTCCTGCATTTGTTGTTGGTGTCGGTCTTTCATAGTGGGACATATTTGGGACCTGATGTGAGAGAAGGGTTTGTAACTGGATGTAGGGTTCGGTTGGTGTCTGCGGGGTGGGTTTCAACTGTCATACACTTCAAAGCTGGCATGGTAGTAGTATCGACTGGCCTTGTTTGGAGTCTTCAGTCTCAATTTTGAGGATCCTACTTGGAGGATCATCCCGCTTAGTAAGTGGTTAATCGCCCTTAATAAGATTTAATGAGTCTCCTAAGTGTAATATCCCATTTATAAGTGGCTTATATAGCTCCACTTACTAACCACTTCTTAAATGGGATAGTCCTCCAAGATAAGCTGCCCAGGGTGGTCAACCCGCTGCACTGGAGGACCATCTTTCGGAGCAGCTTGGACGATGGCCGCGGAAAGAAAAGTGATGCCGTCCATGCGGATCCGCGACCGCCATGCGGAAATATTCGGAAAGAATTGGCTCAGCAAAAATCAGGGACACCGGTGACACCGTCGTAAACTGATAACTGATGTGACTGATAACTGATGTAAACTGTTGATATTCGCTTGTCGACCTACTATCTGTACTGGGGAACTGACATGAAATGACAGCAGGCACAATGATTTCAGCGCTGACATTGCAGACACTGGCATGTTTCGACAGGCTTTGTCAGCTTGTTTTTCGTTGACTGTTGAGCGCATCGTTCAGTCTAAGAGGTTTGTCCCATAGGGGGAACCACAATTTATCACTTTCATTTTTTACCAGGAATTCTTCCCCTTAGACCCACATGGCTTCACTGTGACTCCAGCACGATTTGTTCCTCAGCATGGCGCTGATCACAAGTGTGCTGCCACGCCCCGACAGACCACCCGTCTCTTGGCGTGACAGGATACAGCTACCCTCCACAACCAATTTGCTGTTTTTTTTTTCCTGTAGATCCCCTGGATCGCGAATGCCGCCGAGGTCATTCCTCCGTCGCTCTTCAAAGGTGAAGCAGCGGCAGCGGCCGAAGGCACCGAAGGCACCGAAGGCCGAGGCAAGCGAAGGACGGGTGCCATCGACCCGGTGGATCTCACATGATCTCACCATTAATCCATCAGAAATGGCCTTTATATGTTTTAATAGATGTTCCAATGTAGTATGACTGTTTTATAATGGAATTTCATGGAATTTGAACCATATACTGCCATATGCTCTAATGGTAATTTGAGCTAATTAACTGGAACATTGTTTAGTTGGATAATTTCGTTCTTGTTAAATGGTAGTTTTCCATAGGGAACTGGGAAGATGGTCGTGGGGTAGCAAATCCAAGAAGAATAATCCAGAGAGAGAATTCACATAGCGATGGTACAGATTTCAACGAGTCCCCGTCGCCATTGATGGCCCATTCAGTTGGATGGTATAGGTTTCGGTGACTTTCCATAGCTATGTTGATGGATCCGGATGGTTATATCCCAGCCATGTTTTTTTTTTCATAGCTGCTGGCAATGATGTATCATCAGCCCTGATGAATAATCAATTCTACCATCCACAATTGGGAAGCAACTGATATCGGCCAATGGACGAGACGTGTGAATTATGAAGCATCAAGACTTGCCAACATTTGCGGTTTGTGAAAAACAATCAATACTATACACACAAGAAATTGCCATTAGCTGGTTTGTGACTTTGTACTGTTTTTATCAGCAACATCAACGTGTGATGGAGGGATGGACAGATGGATAGCTATACTCATGATCGAACCCAGTGTGTGCAGTGTTGGATTCCTATTGGATGACTGACCTCCAAGCCATCAACCCTAATGGGTCGGTGTCAAACATGTTTACTCTACATGTTTCGCTTTAAAATGGTGTTATGAAATTCACTCACACTTTCATAGTCAAGTGAAAATAGTTTCGATAAATATGGATAAACATTTCTAAACAAATCTATATACATGACTGGAATCATTAGGATAACGATTGAAATAATACTCAGCTATAGAAGAATGATTGGAAGAATACTACAAGTTATAATACTCAAGCATTACTGGTTGGTGGTTTCAAACATTTTTTATTTTCCATTTCATATATGGGATAACATCGGATAATCCTTCCCATTGACTAATATTTTTCAAGATGGTTAAAACCACCAACCAGGTTATTATTAAACATCATTAACCATATAATAACCATATATTAACCATTATTAACAGTATATTAACCACATATAATTATAAGTTGGACCTTTGGATCCCCACGGCTCATTTCCGGTGTCGCGCAGCGCAGGAGGAGTGCGGTGGAGAAACTCTTGGCACGAGCAGATCAGGTGGCCAAGTCCAGGCCAAGACTTGGGGCTCCAATGCTTTGGGAAACGTTGACACATATTAAAACGAAAAAGGATATATTGATAAATATTGAGCATACATGGCCGTATTATATCGTATCAAGATCGATATCAATATGTATGTATATATATATGTATATACATATATTTATATATAGATATACACACATATACATATATATATATATACATATAGATATACATATATATATGCACATATTCTACATATTCAATTCTATAGATTCTTTAATATATATATAATTATATATATTCATTTATTTATTTTGAGCTCATGCGATGTGATATTTGTTCGCGATGATTCCGGGCAAATTTGAGCAACATCACAACGGAACATAAGGGCTACCCTTGAGGATAAAGCTGGTGAAATGATTTGCATGGAAAGGTGGCTGGGACAATTTCGTACATTCACCGTCCTTGTGTTTCCGTGGTTGTTTGGAAGGTGTTCCAATCTAGCAGACGAGACAAGACGAATTTGAGCTTTGTTTGTGCATTTGTTCAGTATATCTAGAGTGTAAATGTAATAGGGAATGATAGATGTGCAGACGGCATAATCTCTTTCTCTCTCTCTCTCTCTCTCTCTCTCTTCTCTATCTATTTACATTCATTTCTTATGTCATCAGATAGAATTTGAGTGTATATATATATGTGTGTTTACATGTGCGCAGGTACGCGCGAATATATCTATTGTAACTACGTAAATGAAGTAAATGACAATTCTGCACAAACCTTACCAGATGTGAAGAGGATGATACTGTACAACGCCAGGAGGTCCAGTCCGCTAGCTCCCCCAGAATGGCCTGAAAAAACAGCGGGCCTCGGGCAGCAGCTCTTTTCCAAGTTTTTGGAGGCCTGGCCAGTGACATCCCTGGTGCCAACATCAAGATTCCTGGTGCCTAGTTACTGTGACAATTTTACTTGCCCTTAGGTAATCCAAGCTTGCTGGACAATCCATCATTTCTAGGTTTTTTTTTGCTTCCATTTTTCAACCTCCATAGCAAAAAATAGCATAGAATTCTTCATTGCTATGTTTGATGACACCAGAGGGTGTACTTGAATGGAACCTCTCCCAATAGGATTGGTCATTCGGATTCATGTGGAGTACTGACTTGCCTCACCACTTGCCTCACCACTTGCCTCACCACTTGCCTCACCACGGAAAAAGTGGAGTACGTCATGCAATGTAGTATAATATAATATTATATATCTTCTATGTACAATTTTTTAAACAAATAAACATATATTGTATATATATATATATAGGCTACACTACACTTCTAATTTTGATCTAGCAGGGCGTTTCTGTATTGTAAATATGCCTGTTGACGTCGGAGATGCATTTGTTGTTGTGATACATGCATGTATACACAAATGATAAGACTAGAAAGAGTAATAACGATACCCTGCCCCAAATTAACAGTTCGACTGCGGAAAAAAAACACATGTTCAGTGGAAAGTAGTGATTTTGCAGGGTCGTTGATTGTGTGATTTTTGGCTGTTACATTTTGCCTTCACTGATGTCAATCTTTTGATTCCGATCTCATTTGTGACTGAAGTTGTCACGACTTGTTGCCGCAATCAGTTGCGGCTCCTGGTTGCAATATGCAGTGAAAAAGTTAGTCAGCGATCGTTTGGCGCCAGTTGCGCCATGGCAGATTCAGATTGGTGGCGCGGAGCAGATGTACACGATGCAGGGCAGCAGCAGCAGCAGCAGTGGCGTGAAGCTGATCCAGGTGGCTCGGCTGACGATTGGTGGGGTACCAATCACAATCAGTATCAACAGCAGTGGCAGACTAGTTCTTGGGACAGTTACCCGTGGTCATGGAATCATAGTGGGTGGCATCATGATCAGTTCCGTGGTGATAGATGGTATCAGGGAACATGGCATGGGAATGATGCGTGGAGTTTGTGGTCATGGGATAGACAGAACTATGATATGAACACCGCTGATCGAGAGCTTGGATCAGAAGCTCATGCAGATGAAGTTGATGGAGAAACACAGCAAAGGAGGCAATCAAAGCAGACAGAGGCGACCAAGGCTTCCAATTCGGAGGATGGGCCTCGACTTGAGGATGAAGAGGGGTCCACGGTGACCGACAACAAGGCCATCAAAACGGGAAAGGACTATATCCCAGAGTTCGATGGCAAGACTCCCATGCGGGACTATGAACGCCGAGTCAGGTTGTTTGAGGCCAACACGTCGATCCATCCGAGCTACCGTGCAGGTAAGCTCATTGAACGTCTTACTGACCAAGCATGGCGTGCTACAGAGATGCTTGACATTCAGACGTTGAAGGTGAGTGACGGGGTCGACCGACTCCTGCGGCATTTGTGGGGTGAATTGGAGCCTCTTGAGTTCCTTCGGATCTTTTCCACCCTCAATGACTTCTACAAGGGATTCAAGCGTTCAACAGGCCAGCAATTCACTGAATACGACATGGAGTTTCGGCGACAGTGCCAACGACTTGATGAAATCGATGCAGGGATCCATGGAGTCACGCGGGCTTACTGGTTCCTGGAGAAGGCAGGCTTGGGTCCTGAACTACGAAAGCAGGTAGTTGCAGCAGCAGGTGGGTGCTACGACTATCCGAAGTTGAGAGCAGCATTGGTAGCAATCGTTCCCAATGTCCAGAAGGACGAACCCAAGCCGGGTGTCCATGTCAGGGCAACGTCCTCACAGTCGCATCGACCTGCACAACAATACCATGCAAAGAAAGGAGCATCTCACAATGTCCATGCGGTCCAGGAAGAGCACTCCCAAACGGCCGAAGATGCAGAAGAAGAAGAACCCTCTGAAGATGAAGAGCTCGATGCAGAGCAACTTGAAGAACAAGCAGAAGTCTTGATGACGCAAGCAGCTCGAAAGAGGGCTGCGAATGAAAAGGGCCGAGGATTTCAGAAGCAAGAGACTCAGGCTGAACGAGAGGCGCGGGTGACCGAAATGAAGAGCAGAATGGCATGCAGTGCCTGCAAAGCCAATGGCTTCACTCGCTATGGCCACTGGCACAATGACAGGGAGTGTCCATACTATGGGCAGCCGAAGAAGAGCGCCAAGAAGAAAGACAAACCAGAGAAGGATGTCTTCGCTGTGGCAACGGAAGACTTGGAAGAAAGCGATGATGAGTTTCTCATCCACCTGGTCCAGAAGGAAAACTCGGTGATGGCAAGTGGCATCCAAAAAGTTCGGCATGGTGATCTGCGAGGAATGGCTCTGAGCGACACCTGCTGTTCCAGATCGGTGAGCGGTGAAGTCTGGATGCAAAAACATCTCAAGATGTTGTGGGAGAAGGGTGAAGATTTCTATGTGCTCAAAGAGAGACAGATCTACCGTTTTGGCGGTGGTCCTCGGATTGCATCAGAGTATGCAGCCCTCATACCAGTGAACATCCCAGGAAGTGATCGTCAGGCTTTTCTTAGAGTGAGCGTGGTGAAACAAAGCATCCCGCTGCTCATGTCCAAAAGTGCACTTCAAGCTCTAGGAGCAGTACTCGACTTGCCCCGTGGTCAGGTTGAGTTTCGAGCCTTGTCCACATGCACTCCACTGGTCACCACACCGACTGGACATGTTGGCTTCAAGATTGATGCCGAGCCCAACTCCGTGAATTATGCCAAGGTGATCACTTTTGATGATCTTTGCCAACATCTCCACGATGATGCATGTGAAGTTGTGGTCGCAGCGTGCATCAGGACTGAGGGTCAAAGACATGAACATGATAGCCCCCAAACCTGTTACCAGGAGCCGCGTAAGTTAGGTAAGGGGGTAGGCAGAAGGGATAATGTTCATGTTGACACGATCCACCAGTGCTCAAGCGCAAGATCGGAGAGCGGGACTAGCTGCACGACCAACGTGCGTCGTGTCATCCCGCCGGATCAAGACGATCATCATGGCGGCGATGACAGCTCCGAAGCTAAAACAAGAGTACGTGGCCAACATTGCTGCGATGACGAAGGTCTCTCCAGAGAACTTGAACAAGCACGACTTGGATCGGTTGAAGGCCATTTGGATGACCATCAAGCCGAGCAAACCCACCCCGGTGTTTCCACCGGGATGGAAGAAGTCCAATCTGTTCACCCTTCAGCAGATGTACTTCCAACACTTTGTCGAGGAGCTCGGTCGTCCCAACGACGGCCATTGAGCAAAGTGGAAGAAGAGCGCCTTGATCATGGAGCTCGAGTTCTACGCGGACCAGAAGATGGAAGAGCAGGTGACGGAACAGAAGCAGTCGGGCAACCCCATATGCCGAGAGTGCGACATTCCTATGACGTTGAGGACAAATCGGATGAACAGAGAGGACTTTTGGGGATGCATGAGATTCCCGTGCTGCAAGTTCACTCTACCACTAGAGATGTACGGGTCTCCAGCCAGAACTGCGCAGATCGAGCAGGAGGCGGCCCAGACCAAGAAGGAGAAACTCGACAAGGCCGTGATCCCGAGGATGCCCAAGAGACCGTCACAGGCACACGCCAGCCAGACTTCTGGCTATCGAAGCTCAGACGGCTCGTGGCAGCCGATCGATGGTTCGGAAATCCCGATCGATGCAGATTCAGAGGATCAGGCGTCCCTGGTGAATGCGAACTTGAGCATGGAGGAGATGGAGATGTTGACGCAGATGCGCCATGCCAAAGGCAACTCCAAGCAGGACAAGACCACGTGAGAGCACTGAGAGGCCGAGCGTCCCCAGACAGATCCCCGGATGAGAGTTGTGAAGATCATTTCTCTCACATGTTTGACAACGATGGTGAGGGTGCTAGGTCTGTGATCAGTGGTTCTAAAGCTGTTCGGGATGCCATTTTGGCTGGTAAGAAAAGACGAAACAACCTCAAAAAGGGGATAATTCGAAGATTTGTTGGTCACACACGTGCTGTTCTTGCAAGTGTATGCCTTGCTACAGCTGCTTATGCCGGGGCAACCCTTGCGGGAGTGACGGCCAGCACTTTGGCACCACGTCCCGATTGCATGGAAGTGTTTGGAGGACACACAGAAGTCTCTTTCAGCTTCTCCCGATGGGGGTGGACGACCTGTCAACCCATCGACCTGGTCTACGGCAGCGATTTGAATTGCCAGGATGAGCGCAAATCTGTTCTCGATTTTATCAGAACTCATAGGCCCAGATTAGTCATCGTCAGCTATCCTCGCAAACTGTGGTCACCCATAAACAATATCAGTGCCGTCACGTCGCAGGACAAACGTAGGGTTGAAAAGAAACGTAGGAAAGAATTGCCATTCCTGGAGTTAACCGAAGACATTTTCAACCTTCAGTTGAGCCTTGGTGGAGACGCGCTTGGAGAGAATCCGTTGCCTAGTGAATCTTTCAAAAAGCCCCCTATTCAGCGAATCTTGACTCATCCCCAGGTGTTTGCCGGTGTTGGTCATGGGTGTCGTTTTAACATCAGACATAAACGATCAGGTAAACTTTTGAAGAAACCAACACTTTGGTTCTCCACTGCGCCTGAGATTTGCGATGAACTGTCTTTGCGGTGTCAAAACGAAACGTGCAAGGGAGACCATGAACATGATGTTTGCATGGGCGGAAAAGACATCAATGAACATGCAGGCAGGTACACCAGGGAAACTGCGCAAGCCATCCATCGAGGTTTTGTCAGAGTTTTGAAAAGAAAAGAACCTGGTCGAATTCGGAACATGTTGCGGTGTGTGGCTGCTAGGATTCGTAGAGGTGATCAGAATAAGGTCCATCTTCGTTGGAGCGAGAAGAGCATTAATAAAGCGTTAGGGCAGTGGAATGCTGTGTTTGCAAACAGTGTTGCAGATCAAGACATGCCCCCTGAGGACCAATCTCAGTCACCACAGGCATCCACAGGACCGCATTCTCAACGACAGGGAGATCGACAAGTCAAGCCTTTCAGTTCTGGTGGGATCGTCTTCAACGTGCCTGCCGGGAGGAAGCTCAGTGAACCAGTGAAGCAGCAGCTTAGGAAGATTCATTGTAATCTTGGCCATCCAAGCCGAGAGGATTTGAGTCGGTTTCTGAAGCTTGGTGGTGCTACCCAGCAGGCAATCGAAGCATTGTCATGGATGCATTGCCCAACATGTGCTCATGGAAAGAAACCCGGTACCCATCGAACTACCAACATTCCACCGGCTCAAATTACTTTTGGTGATGAAGTTTGTTTGGATTGTCTTCAGGTTTATGATGGTTCTGGTAAGGGTCACTGGTTTATGTCTGTTGTTGATAGGGCCACTTCTTTTCATATGATTGCTTATCTTGACTCTCATACCCCCCAACATTTTTATGATGTCTTTTGTAATACTTGGGTGAATTGGGCTGGACCTCCTGCAAGGGCAACTGCCGATATGGAAGGTGGATTCTGTGGTCGGGAGTTTTGGGAAAGCGTTGGTCAACAAGGGACTGCGATGCTCACCATTGCAGGATGTGCACATTGGCAAGCTGGGAAAGTTGAAAGACATAATGGCATTATCAAAGACATGTTCACCAAGGTTGTCAATCACACCGGTCCGTTGGGTAAAGAACAAATGACTCGTGCCTCGTTAGAAGTCATGCATGCTAAGAACTCTCTCACGCGCGAGCATGGTTGGTCACCCTATGCGTTGGTTTTTGGGAAAGAACCGAGAGTTTTTGGGGAAATGCTGGCTAATGGTAATCCGGTTTGTTTTCATCCTTCAGTGGGAGAGCGAGGTGTGATTGCCGAAAGAATGAGGTATAGGTACTATGCCAAATTAGAATACATTCGGGCCCAAGCTAGGCAAATGATTCAGAAAACCCTTCACAATCGGACCCGAAAGATGAACAACCCCAAAGTTGGTGAAATGGTTTTCTTTTGGAGGGATAATCAACACAAAAAGAAGCAGCTTGGAAGTCGGTGGCTGGGACCTGGGTTCATCGTGGGCCACCAAGATTCCAATGTTTGGATCACTTGCGGTGGTCGTTGTTTCCTTGTTGCCGTGGAGCATGTTCGATCTGCAGTAGGAGAAGAGGAACGTTTTGGAGACCCCGAAACCCAGAAGACTTTGGCTTTGTTGAAAAGGATCGGGGATGGAGATACCGTGGAAGATCTTACTAAACAAAATGGTCCCCCTGTTGAAGATGTTCCTTCTGACATTTTGGTTGAACAAAAACAGGTTGAACAGAATCCTACTCCTCGGCAGGAAATTCCTCGAGATGTGACCAAGTTGGCTAGGGGCATTGGTTGGCACAAGGATTCTTCCGGAAACCCTGTTAGAGTGGACAAACATGCCGTTGCTTTTCGGACCCCTATTCCCAATTGGACTGAAGAACAGATGCCCTTTCGGACTACTTGGGGTTCTAGAAAAGGGAAATGGTTTTGTTTTGAAGAAAATCGGCGTTGGGGTGAGTTAATGGACCCTCATGAGAAGATTCCCCAGGGTAAAGTTGATGTTTTGGTTACTATTTTCCAGGGTAAGACTCGTAAATTTGATGATGATCAGTCTCAAGGAGCCAAGGCGAAGGTCGCAAAAACAAGTTGTCATGCCGTTCATATGGTTAAAGCTACCCAGAGTAAAAACCAGTTGAAGAAAATGTTGGAAAAGGAAATTCCTTTTGAAAAGATCCCCCAAGATCAACTTCCCATGTACATGGCCGCTCTTGAAAAAGAATGGAGCAGTTGGAAACAGTATGATAGCTGTGAAGTTTTGTCAAGGGAGGAGTCCCGAAGGGTTGAGGATGAAGAACGGGACAGAATTCTGCCCAGTCGATTTGTGTTTCGAAACAAACATGCGGGATTGAAAGATCCCATGGGAAATGACTTACCTGTCAAACCAAAAGCCAGGCTCTGTCTGCAAGGACATTTGTGCCCGGATTCACAATCAGGACAGCTTCAGGTGGATTCGCCAACAGTCGAGAGAGTGTCCACAATGATGTTCCTTCATCACTGCATTTCGTTGGGTTGGTGGACGAATTGGTACATAGGAGATATTAGCAACGCGTTTTTGCAGGGCGCTCCTCTCACCGGAAAAGGTCATGTACATGCGTCAACCCAAACAAGGCTTGCCTGGATTGAAATCCGATCAACTACTGAAACTATTGAAACCAGTCTATGGTAGACCAGATGCACCGAGAGCCTGGTTTAACGAATTGTCTCGGGTTTTGACTAAGGAAATCGGTTTTACTCAAAGTATTGTTGATCCCGCTTCATTTCATTTGAGAGATTCTACTGGTAAACTGAGTGGATTGTTGATTGTTCATGTCGACGATGTTATGGTTGCTGTTGAATCCAGTGATTTTGCCCAACAAACTGTTGAACGTTTGAATGCTCGTTTTCCTTTCGGATCATGGCAAAAGATTTGTGAAGAGAAAGCCGGTGTTTCTTATTGTGGAAAAGAGATCAAACTGCACCATCCGGATAAATATCATGATCAACATAGGATAACTTTGGGACAAGATGGATTCATTGATGGGCGCCTGGAACAGATTAAGCTGTCTAGGGAAAGAGCTAAACAGGGAGAGGAACATGTGACTGATGTTGAGAAAACTGATTTTCGAAGTGTTGTTGGGTCTGTACAATGGCTTGTTACCCAATCACGTCCTGATTTAACTTTTCAAGTGAATCAACTCCAGAAGAGAATCACTGACCTCAGGGTTCGAGATTTACTTCGTGCTAATTCGGTGGTCAAGGATGCCTATAAACACCGACAGGTTTTGGAGTTCCATAATTTGGGAGATGATGTTGAAATTTTGGCTTTCCATGATGCTTCCTTGTTTAATTCCGTTGGTGTCGAAATTGAAGACCGTGAGGAAGCTGATGTCTTGTTGCAAGGAAACGAGAAACGACTGGTGTACTCTCAAAAGGGCGCTATGATTGGTTTGATAAAAAGGGGTAGTACTGCTACTGTAGGAGAACGCGTGCGTATGAACGTTGTTGACTGGCGATCATCTACCAACAAGCGTGTCGTAGAATCATCGCTATCCGCTGAAACTCATGCGGCTATCATGGCTCATGGTCTTGCTAGGTATTGTCAGGCTGTACTCCTAGAAATGAAATTCGATCAGGATGTCATCACCGCATTTGAGGATGAGGACTTTCAAGAGCATACGCCCATGAACATGGTCACGGACTGTAAGTCAATATATGACCACATAAATAAGGATGGACAACATGTGTCTAGTAAGGGTGATATTATTTCGGTGGTGTTGCTTCGGAAAATGCTTTCTACTCGAAATCATCCTGGCAAAGCAAGGCTATTTTGGGTGCCAACTAGGCATCAATTGGCAGACGGACTGACAAAAGGCGGAAAGAGCCACGAGGTCCGGAACCAGCTTGGTTGGGCACTGTTGCATGAGAAAGCAGCACCAAGAGCCAAACAATCAGTGAAGGCAAAGAAGAGAGTTGACTCAGTGTGATTTTTGGCTGTTACATTTTGCCTTCACTGATGTCAATCTTTTGATTCCGATCTCATTTGTGACTGAAGTTGTCACGACTTGTTGCCGCAATCAGTTGCGGCTCCTGGTTGCAATATGCAGTGAAAAAGTTAGTCAGCGATCGTTTGGCGCCAGTTGCGCCATGGCAGATTCAGAGATTGAACATGGTAATTTACCACGTTGTTGCCAATAAAACTGGTGAGAGCCTTTATCAACTTCTGAAAAAGGTGCATGTATAAAATACTACACACTGAGCTTGAATAATTATATAGTACTCTGGTTGGTGGTTTGGAACATTTTTCCATATATTGGTAATAATCATCCCAAATCCCAACTGACTTTGATATTTTTCAGAGGGGTTGAAACCACCAACCAGTACTATTCATGTTGTTGTTATTGCAATTTGTGAATAGGTACCACAAAAATATCATGATAATCATTTTTTCAAAATCAATCCGACGGGTGGCTTTTCATACCAGGAAGATCTTTAGAAACATAAGGTTGGTATTAAATAACCATTATCAAGATAAGATATCAATATTAATTGGTTTGATATTAGATAATCATGGTTTTTGATGGATTAATGATTCATATCATACAGACACACTGGATTTCAATGACCATGAGACGCGCCACCAGCGGCCAGATGCCCAACAGCAGCAGTGTATTGCAAGCTGATGCTGCACGAAGGCTGGCGGCATACGCGGCTTCCACACTAAGGCTGGTTAAGCCACGGCACAGCTACAAACCAATGAGGAAATCACCAAGAAACCAAGGGATTTACCATCCGATAAGCAAAGGTGGCTGGGAAATCCCCGAGCCAAAGGTGGCTGGAAGGGAAAGTCATGCGAAAAACAAATGGGGAATTAATTGTCCATTGCCATGTTTGATTGCCGGAGATTAAGGGGGAAATAACAATCACTAGGAAACCTTGGGATATATTTGGAAAAATGTAGTGGGTTCCAATGCGATATGATGTGATTGGATACAAAAATGGTACTGTAATTGTTAGGTGTGATGGTTTTATCATGTTGGTCTTGGTTGAACGCTTCCATACTATATGGGATGATGAGAACGTTTATAGAACTGAGACAAGGACATGTCTATGTATTATCCTTACTGGTGTGAGATGGTAGCCTGTATAGGTATGTATAGGTCGTAAGCGGGTACAATGCATGTACAACTGGGTTGAAGCCAGGCGGTGGCTTCCCTTCTCATTGGTCTTGTGCTGGGAATCCAATGCGGCTGGAAACTCCCCTAAAGATGGAGGTTCACCCTTTGGTAAACTAACATAGCTATTGAAAATGGCCATAGAAATAGTTGAACTACCTATTAAAAATGGTGACTTTCCATAGTTATGTTATATAGTTTACCAGGCCAGGTAAATTATAGGATCTCTATATGATCTGAGGGATGTAAACTATTGCCACGGATTGCCTTATTAATCCCATCCCCCTAATATTAAACACCTCTTAAATGGTCCCCATTTATGTGGACATAATGGACATACCCTACTAAACTATGGGGCATCGTTTGGGGGTGTCTAATGATTAGAACCCTTGTGGTATCTTGTGATTCACTGATTCCTTGTCCCATTTGTTTCCAGGTTGGCATGGGCCACAGGCATTGCCAAGGAAACTGCATCTGACTGGCAGCGGACTTTGGAGGTGCGAGCTGCGAGGCGTTGCCCCTTGTTGGGATGATTAAATTTGAATCATCCAACAAACACACCGTTGAACCATATAATTTGCTATACCCCTGTAATGCTTATAACTAAACTTTAAAGCGTGGCAAACCTGCAGGCCAAAGGGGGCGGCAACGCCTGCGGCAGAAATTTAGAAGTTGCGGGTCAAAATAGCGGGCCACCCTCCAGCCACTTTTCCCCGAACTAACTCTTGCAGCTCTCCCAGGCCCATCCCCAACTGTTTCCACCCAGGTTCTCCCAGGAAATCCCGGAAACCCCACAAAAGCGCAGAAAATAACACCCAGGTTCTCCCAGGAAATCCCGGAAACCCACAAAAACGCAGAAAATAACACCCAGGTTCTCCCAGGAAATCCCGGAAACCCACAAAAACGCAGAAAATAACACCCACGTTCTCCCAGGAAATCCCGGAAACCCACACAAACGCAGAAAATAACACCCAGGTTCTCCCAGGAAATCCCGGAAACCCACAAAATCTCAGGACATCACTAATTTCCTAAAACCTCAGAACCAGAACCTGGAGAACCTGGGAGAACCTGGGAGAACCTGGGAGAACCTGCAAGTTGGGATTGACCTGGGCAGACTTAGGCGGACCTGGGCCGACCTGGACGGGGGTAGCCTGAATAAACCACGCATATGTAAACCAGAGCAGAATTGGATAAAACACCACTAACGAATAGTGCTGAGCCAACACCGTTTTGATATGTATCCTGCACCATTCAAAAACCAGTTTTAACACCCAGAAACCCTCCAAAATTAAAACCCAGGCCCCAGAATCCTGATTTATATTATATGCATTACAGGGGTTTATCAACATATAATATATCCTCTGGTTATTTAACATAGCCATGGAAAATGACCATTTTGAAGAGGTAAATCATCAAAACACATCTATAAATGGGCCATGTTCCATGGCTATGTTAAATAACCAGAGGGTATCATATAATTTATAGTTGAGATTTCTTTGAAGGGGTCACGGGTCGTAACTACCAGAGACAAGCATTATCGACCTCGACAACCTTACCACAAATAGCCGACCTCTGGAAACCCTGGTTTAGAATTGATATCGAGAAATGGATTGAGAATTGGCATTGGGGAAATCATCGGAAGCTCAGTCGAAAAAGAATCGTTTGGGATTTGATAGCTGATGATAGCTGCACTGCAGTGCAGATGCGGTGGATTCAAAGCCATTTCCAGGGTCTTGTATTAATTACTAATGTAGATTTCTTTGGATGACTTCAGCTGGCAGTAAATGCTTTTTTTTCTTACAGCGGCCTCAGCCGGCTTTTGATGAAAGCCTAGGTATTTCTATGAAATCGGCTTCAGAAAATGAGCCGTGCAAGCAGACCGTGGTAAAAGCGCTTGTACCATCCAAGAGGTAGCTCTCCGCATGGAAATGTTCAAGAATTGGTTACCAAGACATTGGGAGATTTGTATGCCCTGCAGGAACTCTCCTTACAGTAAGAATTGACAAACAAAAACAATCCACCAACATGGTTTGTCTTCAGAACAAGAGACACGCACTTGTATCCGTCGCCAACTGAGGAGGTCGCCTACTGCGGCCAACGAAGACCGTCATTGACAGGTGTGTAAACGTACCTGCTAGGGATGCTCCTGGGCGCAATGGTCGCAGCTGGGGGTCCCACATGAATCCACCTTTAAATTCATGTATCAATGTTGGTTTATCAGGACGTTGGGCACATGATGCCCATGTATGGTTTTTCAGGACTTGCAGCATGAGACTTGATGACGCAGTAGGCGACCTCCTCACCAGTTGCGGACGGATACAAGTGTGTGTGTGGGTGTGTACCGTCTGAATAGACGTTAAACTTCGTCCTTATATTATATGATATATATTTTTATTTATGGCAGGGGGCAGAGGGATCTCCAGTTGTGGCCTCTGCCAACGAAGCTCCACACTGGAGATCAGGTAAACGTACCTGCCTTGTCCCGCCCTGGGCGCATTTAAGACGCAGCTGGGGGGACATATAATATTTTATATCGCTGTTGTTTTATACTGTCATTGTCTACTGTGATCTTACATATATATATATATAATCTTCATCGTATATTAATTCTATTCCTGTCTAATCTGCATGTTACCGGATTCAGTTCCTGCCGGATCACTATAATGATCCATTCTTGTCTAGTGTGATTCCTATGGTGAGTCCGACATGGTGCCATAGGGCCAATTGAGGCAACCCCAGTTGGGGTCAATGTCGACTGACTTGAATTCCGAATTTACACATTTGAATTAGTAATTCGTTTAAGTAATGTGCAACAGATGGCCTTACCGTTTTGTGCCTTTGATGAAGTCCCGCGGCTCCTGTGGTCCCAGGGATTCCTCGCCGACGCATTTCTTCATCTTTGAAGCTGTTCTGAACATTCAGAAACCTCCTTCTTTCGCAGCAACCTTTGCAGTTACATTACATGAGACAGAACGCAGGCAGGTACACGATCTTTAGGTGTGGTCTCTTTCTTTTGATGGTTGTCTGGTGAGGTAAAACATGTTGTGCATCTAATTCGTTGGAACTTGAAAGCCGTTTAATGCCATTGTGGCTGGCTGGAACACGGGCCTGGAGTGGCACAACGCACGAATCCTAGGTTTTAGGAGCTGAATCCTTGTTTTGTTTTTGTTTTTCACTAACTAGTTCCCCATTGGTCCCCTATCTCATGCTCTTCCCTCCCCAGGTAGGTTGGCTCCGTCGCGTGCTGAGGTTTTTTGTAGGTTTTCGCTGTGGCAGGTTGGTTCAGGCGCTTCCGTCTTCCCCCCCCTCCGCTGGTCTTGGTCCGTGTCCGTCGACCCTCCGCTTTTTTCTTTTCCCTTGCCTTTTCAGGGTTCGCCCGCTCCGGGCTAGGTGTGTTGGTGTGTGTTTGCTCCTTGCCTCTTCTTTTGCGTTCCCCTCTTCGCGTCCTGGTTAAGTAACGTTCATCTCATTTTCACTCTCATCTCATTTTTCATCCCCCGTTCATCCTCATCTTCATCTCATTTTTACGCGCACCACCCTGCCGGAGGCAGGGTGTGTGTGTGGGTGTGTACCGTCTGAATAGACGTTAAACTTCGTCCTTATATTATATGATATATATTTTTATTTATGGCAGGGGGCAGAGGGATCTCCAGTTGTGGCCTCTGCCAACGAAGCTCCACACTGGAGATCAGGTAAACGTACCTGCCTTGTCCCGCCCTGGGCGCATTTAAGACGCAGCTGGGGGGACATATAATATTTTATATCGCTGTTGTTTTATACTGTCATTGTCTACTGTGATCTTACATATATATATATATATAATCTTCATCGTATATTAATTCTATTCCTGTCTAATCTGCATGTTACAGGATTCAGTTCCTGCCGGATCACTATAATGATCCATTCTTGTCTAGTGTGTGTGTGTAACATCTGAATAGATGTAAAACTTCTCTCTTTTTCTTTCTTCTTTCCTCCCCCTTTCTAATAATAACAATAATGCAGGGGGCATGGCAGCTGTTTCCCTAGCCATGCCAACGAAGCTATGGGATTCAGCCGGAAGGGAATGTGGACGCACATTCCTGTACCTGCATTTTACTAATCTAGGAATTTGTTGTTTTCCTGATTAGTTTGCATGTTACGGGACTCAGTTCCTGACGGATCTATTCAAAGATCCTTTCTTGTCTAGTGTAATATCCATGGTGGCTCCGACATGGTGCCATGGAGCCAACTGAGGCAACCCTTTTTAGGGTGACTGAGGACAGACTTGACTTCCGAATTTACACATTTTAACTGGTAATTCGTTTAAGTAATGCGAAACAGTACCATTTACCAGCCTTTTTGCGATGTCCCGCTGGTCCTGCTGTCCCAGTGAACCTTGCGGAATGCATTTCTACCAGTGCGAAGCCTACCAGAAACCTCGTTTTCGTTCACGCAGCTTTTGAAGTGCGACATAAACATGTCACATAAGCAACCATTCAGGCAGGCACACGCTTTCCAGGTGTGGTCCTTTTTCCTTTTGGTTCTCTGGTGAGGTTGAACATATTGTGCATCTAATTCGATGGAACTTGAACAGCTGTTTATGCCATTGCGGCGCGACTTGACAACGGTCCCGATGGGGAGTAACGCACGACCTCTAGGTTTAGTGGGGCTGAGTCGTGGGTTTAGGTAATTCTTTTGGTTGTTTTACTTTCGTCACCAACTAGTCCCCCATTTGGTCCCTAATTACCCTCCCCTCGCAGCTACTCCGTAATGTGTTGTGGGGTTTAGGTGTGTGCCCTGTTTTCTGTCAGGTCCGTTTCGCCGTGTAGGTTGGTTCCGGAGGTCCGTCTGTTCCCTTCCCCCCCTGCGCTGTTTTGGTCGTTGGCCCGTCATCTGTGTCCGCTTTTTTCTTCCTCTTGCCTTTCAGGGTTGACCCGGCTCAGGCCGGGTGTGTGTGTGTGTAACATCTGAATAGATGTAAAACTTCTCTCTTTTTCTTTCTTCTTTCCTCCCCCTTTCTAAAAATAACAATGATGCAGGGGGCATGGCAGCTGTTTCCCTAGCCATGCCAACGAAGCTATGGGATTCAGCCGGAAGGGAATGTGGACGCACATTCCTGTACCTGCATTTTATTCATCTAGGAATTTGTTGTTTTCCTGATTAATTAATTTGCATGTTACGGGACTCAGTTCCTGACGGATCTATTCAAAGATCCATTCTTGTCTAGTGTGTGTGTGTGCTCTGCCCCTATGTATTGCCATAGTTTGATCTGATTTTTCCACGGCGCTTCACTAGGAGAGCCTGCCAGAAGCTTTGAGTGTTTTGGCACTGGATTTTGCAGATCCTGACCTCCATCGCAGGCCCAAGGCAGGGTTCAACTCATGGGCACATGTCTTCGGAAACAGCCCCCAGATCATTGAGAAAGATGGCAGTGATGTAGCAGCCAGACCACCTGCTGAGGTTTCGAGTTGCTTTTCTTTGGTGAACGTCTGAAGTTCCCATTTTTCTCCGAGGTCCTTTCATGTAGGGCAAAATGACAGCGACCTCAAAGTCACAACATGTCAGAAAAAAAAAATTAACGATTTTTCATTTTTCCCCACCTGCCAGGTGAGGGTTGTTAGATTTTATCAAAGCTGTTCTCCTCCTCCTCCTCCTCCGCCTCCTCCGCCTCCTCACCCGCCGCCTCCTCCTCGCAGTCCAGATCCCAGTGGGCACAGCCGGACCTCCACCGCGAGCTCCAGATCCCAGTGGGCACTGCCGGACCTCAACCGCGAATTGCAGATCGCAGTGGGCACTGCCGGACCTCAACCGCGACTTCCAGGTCGCAGTGGGCACTGCCGGACCTCAACCGCGAGCTCCAGATCCCAGTGGGCACTGCCGGACCTCAACCGCGAGCTCCAGATCCCAGTGGGCACTGCCGGACCTCAACGGCCAGATAGATGCCAGAAGATATGCCAGATAGAATGCCGATAGAATGCCAGATGTCAGATAAATGTCCAGAAGATATGAATGCCAGAAGATATGTCAGATAGAATGCCAGAAGATTGCCAGATAGAATGCCAGAAGATATGTCAGATAGAATGCCAGAAGATATGCCAGATAGAATGCCAGAAGATTTGCCAGATAGAATGCCAGAAGATATGTCAGATAGAATGCCAGAAGATTTGCCAGTAAGAAAATGTATAAATGTCATGGTGGGGATCACACGAAGTAAAGTAATTTTCTACTTAAAACTACCCACACAAAAGTCCCAAAACTATAGCTTCAAAACCACCCCCTTTGCCAAGAAAAAGATGCCTGGCAGGCCGCGCTGCGGGGGTTGCTGCAGCACTTGCAGTCGATGGATCAGCTCCTTTTGGGGCTTTGGGCGATGGACCCAGAGCTTCCACATCCCTGGCAGCTGTCGGAAGCCTCCTGCAGGTCAGGGGTGGTCAGGGGTGGTCAGGGGTCCTCCAGGGCTGGGGTACCTGTGATTAGTTCACTGGTTAGTATATAACTTATAGGACTGACTAAATAAGTCTAGATAATGGATAATCCCGTTACTAATCACCTAACTAATCCCAGGGCCCATCTAAGTAATAGGTGGGTGGTTGAAGGTTGTTGAACATAGATCTTAGTTCTGTAGTTTCCGATCCTTGAGGCGGGGGACTAGCACAGTGATGGAATCACACGGCACTAAGTGCAAAGTTGTGGATTTGTGGATACCAGAGGAACCAAACAGCTAGTTAGACTATGTTAGACCTGTGTCGGCTTTTGCTGGATATGAATTGTGAATGCTCGAATGCTCCAAGGATAGTTTATATGTAGCATAAATGTAGCCATTCCCAACAAGATAGACAAAAACACTGTATCACCATTTTTGTGTAGGGGTTTTCCGAGTGCCAATACTGTTGCAACAAACTTGGGAGGTGCCACTTGCAGAGGGATGATATTGCTGATGCTGGGCAGAAGAAGAAAGGCTAGTGGGAACAGGAACACTGCCATCTACATGGTGCATGGTATTTGTTGAGGAGAAACCGTGGATTAGTGAGATAATATATATATATATATAATTATTACATTAAATACTCATAACAGATTTGAAATTTAATGTACGGGGATACAACGGTGTCTAAAACTGTATAACCAACATAAACAAACAACAATATGGTTTCGGGATGTTTTGGGTGTCTGTGAAAACGGGTGAATAACCACTATTTATTGCTATCGATTAATAGGGAAAATAGTGATGAACCTAAGAAATCGGATGCCAACCATGTGAATTGGGATGAACACCAACAACAACCAGCTGCATTCTGAGAAGATGGGGAATCCCATGGTTTCATCTGGCATGGGCCCCGGCCCAGGATGGAGTTCGGCAGCTCTTGAAACAAAGTGATTTGACCCGTCGTGTGGCATCGCGCTGGGGCGTCCGGAAAGCGTGGTTGAAGAGCGGCAAAGGTTCGCCCTGGTCCAAAGTGGCTGGTGATTCGCCATGCGATGCCTTGCGCATGCTACGGGCGAGATGGTTGGAAGCGATATGTTTCTAGGCGTTGCCAAGGCCAAGGCGGTGGTGCCATAAAAAAGCCTTCATCCTGCAGCTAATATGAGGAATCTGAATGAATCTGACCTTCAGTGAAGATCCTTTGTGGAAGAACGTTCACACAATTAGTTGTATGCCAACTTGTTTCGTAGTTTTCACATATCCGATTCATATGTTCCTACATATCTATTTTTGATTGCTCTCTGTAAAGCTACATCCCTGGTCCCAGATAGACCGTTTGGCAGTCAGCTGCCTTCCGTTTGTAGCTATTTCAAATAGAACATTGATGGATATAATGATACATTTAGAAAAATATTGTTATACAATATATATAACTAGCAGATTTTTTTTGAGTCTTGTAAAGCACCCTTGCACCCTTCCAGAACCGAGCCCACCATTTGAGGCTTGGCACGGTCCGCCCCATCGTCTCCCCAGACTCTCAAAGCAATTTCCACCTGGCTGTTGGTTGGACGTGACATCACTGCGCGCTGGCACGCCTTTGTTGCTCGGCACGACGGCCATAGCATGGTGGCTGCTAAGGGGACCTGGGGATACCGAGAATACAGCCCTGAAACTTGTCGTGGTCCTCCCAAAAAAGAACGGCAACTGATTTTACAGAGTTGACTGGAATGGAGGGATGTTGTTCCAAGCCCTGTTCTTCTTTTAAAGCCTCATACAGCCACCGTTAATGGCTTCAATTCAGAAAAGCGGGCCGGGCACCTGAAATCCTCCAAGGCAATCCCCAGCAGCAAGATCTTGAAACTCGGCTTAGACTTGGCAGTGGAGGTTAGTATGGCCTCGGATAATCCAGAATGGCAGTGGAAATTGATGGAACTTGGCTAATTGTATCTAATTATAGGTTGCTCTTCTTGTTGGAATTGATCATTTCTCATCGTGAGGTTAGAATGCTGGATGCCATTGTCGGAGGTTTGTGGCTGGGAAAGTCATCCATAAATGTTGGATTTTCGAGCAAGCCATGTTTGATTACCGGAGTAAAATTTGGAGAATTTGGTTTCTCAATAGGGCTTTGCCATTCTGGATAGGCGCGAGATCAAGAAGCGGTCTGGAGGTGGAGCTATTGATTTGGGAGCCTCTTGGCGGAATTGCCCTGGCGAGTCGTATCATTTTGGGATTTTGGATGAATCTAATCTAACCGAATCTAACGTCCCCATTGTTTGATCAACGCTCATGTTATATGCACATCAAAGCTTGACAACCTATCATATTAAATTGCACATATATATATATATATGTATACAGTATTCAGTAGTTAATTGTATATAAACATATGTGTTTGATCATGGAATATCTCCCTTACAATATACGAGTTACCGTATATGGAGCTGTTTGGAATGGTTCCCAAGCCTGGCACAATGTTTGGTGTTTGGTGAAATAAAGGGTTAGCAAAGTCTTCATGCCTCCAACAAGTTGCATTTTGTTCATCTCCAGCGGTTTTTTCGATGGGTCCGGTGGTTTTCGGTCAGTAGAAGAGTCATCCCTGTACGGGAGGTTCGTGATTTCATGTGGCAATGTGGCCCACTTGGTTTCAAGGATTGAACCCACTGATGAGAACAAAACGCTCTGGTGAGGATTGGTAATTCAACCACTAGGATCACTATATAGGGCATCTCGGAACTTAGGAACGTTCAATTCAGCAACTCTTAGGGCAAGCTCTGAGGCTGGTGTCGGCTACTGGTCGCAGCTTTTGCATCAAAGCGGTGTGGATGTGTTGGCGTTGGATCTAGATCCCCCCCGCGATCAAAGCAAGGTGCACTGGTGCACGGCTCGGGGTTGAGCTGTGAAGAAAGCGCTTGGATGCAGATGATGCAGATGATGCAGATGATGTATTTGTGAGGACCTGGTGACTTGGGACTTGTTTTTAGGAGATAATGATAGATCAATGGCATTCAAGCGGCTAGATGGCTAGATGCTGTGGATGGCATATATCCCTTACATTTCCTCCTTCGAGCCGTTGTGTTTGGGCCCAAAATCCTCCATCTCATGGATCCACCAAAAAACACGGCCCTGGAAGAGGCCAACGGTCCACGGGCCAGAAGCGTCAGCGCCATCAGCGCCCTGAGCCGTTGGCAAAAAGGTGCCTCCCAGAAGTGGCAACGGGTGCAGCTGCTGTGGCAGGTCCTTGCCGCCTTGTGGATGCCCACAGTGCTATGGGCCAACACCGCCATGAGTCGCTGGTTACCCGCCATGGCCATGTCGCACAGCACCTTGGTCCTGGGCATGGCGCATCACGCCTTCCGTCGCCTGCAACGCCTGCAGCAGCCCGGGGCACGGCTGGTCTCAACGGCAGAGGCGCCGCATGCGGCGAATGCGGCGCCACCGGGTGCGTGGCTACGGCTGCTCTGGGCCTGCGTGCTGGCACTGAATGTGACATGGACCCACCTTGGGGCTTTGATTTATCACTACAATCCCAAGGTGAGCGGACGCAGCCTACGATGCTTTCGAGGTTTTCTATTGACACTAGGTTTTTGCGTGGGATCCTGGGGTCTTGCCATTCATTACGTTTTGTCGGAATGGGTTTTCCTGCGAACTGGCCTGCGAATTTCCCACTTTTTATACACAGAAATTGCCTACGTGGTGGATGACTCAAACATGTCCACGAGGACAGATTCCTGGACACGAAATCAAAAGGATGCGTGAAACTTGAGGTTTCCCTCGTTTCACCGCTGGTATGCCCATGAGTTGTATGTATTTCTTATGATTTCTTTCTGGTACAAGGACATGCCTGATGTTTAGGGACCTCCTTAACTTCCCATAGTTGCTACCATTGCGATCAACTCATGTGGCATCCAGAGAGGAAAAAAAAATGCCTCTAATGTGTAATACGCACAGGTCCACATTATCAATCCATTGCTGTGGCCATTTTCTCCTATGGGCAGCTGCGGACTAAAAAGTCATCCCTTCAGCTGGTGGAGTCATCCCAGCCACACCGACCAGGCCGTGAAGGTGGAGTTTGGCGATGATCCTTGCAGTCAATTTAAGGCACGATGGAAATATGTCATCAATTGCTTGGGATAAAAAAATGATTTCATGATATTTCCATGCAGTTTAATGTCAATAGGAATGTTTGATGTTTGGATATTTTTGGATTTCAATAGTATTTTCCATGGGATTGAAACACTGTGGAATGAATTTGCCGTTTTTTTGCTGGTGAGCCTCCCGTGTGTTTGGTTGGACCATTCGTCAATATCCAATGTGTATGGGTTTGATTCGATTTGCATGGTTTTTTTTCCCCTATCGATGGTAAGGTCGATGGTATCTCCGATGCATTGTCATTGTGTTCCACCATGTTCATCAAAGACGGTGGGATTTCACAATGTTTCCCGCACGACTGAATCCCGAATCTTCTCACACTTGGATCTGCATCGGCAGTGCTTACAACTTATGTAAGTCACAAACTCGGGGATATTCCATCTATAGCTGTATATTCTAACATTTGCATAAATATGTGTAATTACCCACTTACAGCCGAACCGTAAAATCCTACGAAAGTATAGTTCCAAAATTGGCAATTTGGGTTACAGTTCCAGGTGTAGCACATTTCCATCTTCGGCCATACAGCACTTGGGGGTGCATCCCAGTTTGATCCAGTTATAGGATTCAAACAGATCATTTTTGTCGAATCCCCTCACCATATGTCCACCAACTTTTTCTGAATTATGAATCATACCCAGTTACCCTCCTGTCATCAAACACATAATATGACATTGAAAGTTCCCCATTTAGTTCAACGATTTTCCCAGCAAACCTCCATTTATAAATATTTATAGGGGATTCTCCAGCTAGCCACGGTTGATTACCAGAGGGTAATCACTTACGAAATGCTAATATATCCTTTAAACTATTCCTACAAAATACGGCGAAAAATATGCTTCAGCTACCTCCATGTTAGGTTCCTGATGTTCCCACTGATTATAAGTGGTGGACGTCCCATAGACATATTCTATCATCATCCCATTCTTGTCCCCATCAAACCATACAAACCATAAATAAACCAATCTTAACTCATAGCAAGCCATAGTTAACCTTTGTTAACCATACTTAACCATACTTAATCGATATAGTTCACCACCAGCTAGTTAAGCACTTACCATGCCCCCGAGGCCACCTCCCTACATGGCCTTCCCTGTGCGGGACGTGAGATGCTGCTGCTGTGCATGCCGCCCCCGGGCGAAGCCGCCTGCGCCGAGGAAGCCTTGAACAACTTCCGCGGAAGAGCCTTGATCCTATGGGATTCTATCGTGATGGGATGAATAGTTATACTAATAATGGTTAATTGTTGATCATGGGAATTCATGATGTTTCATTGATTTTATATGGGATATTCTCTAGTGTTTGCTGGAAAATGACCCATGGAAAATTGACGGGTTTCCATAATGTGTCCATGTTTTCGCTGGGATTTCCCTGGTCTCCCAGCCTCCCGAGGATATGTGGCCTATGTGGGCGAGTGGGGCAGTGGCATGACCGCCACGTCAGCCTTCCATGAGTCCCTGCTGTCAAAGTTTGAGTTTCTTGGACAAAGTTGGCTATCAGTTCAGGGAGCTAAGGTCAGGAGGGGCATCCGAATGACCAAGAGCTTCATAGATGATAGTTTGACATTGTTTGAACATAGGACACCCCCGAACCCTCCCTACTGGTATGGGTTAATTATGGTTAATTATCAACATTTCCCCGTGGTTTCGCTTTCCTCTTTGTGTCGAACGGAAAAATTCACTCGCGCACGAGGACCTGGCACGAGGGTCTCCGGATATTATTTGGACAAACCTGGGATGGTGCTGATGGATTAGAGTAATATTTCTCTAATAAACCTATAGGGAGAGGGAGAGATACCGAGAAATACCGAGAGAGACCGAGAGAGGCCGATTGCAGTAGCCTGCGGATAGATAATATATGAATTTTGTTGGGTAGGTTCGATGTTGGGGTTGGGTAGGCGTTGGTGGGTTGGGTTGGTTATAGAACTGGGACGTCATAAACATAGGGCGATATGAAGTTCTCGCCGCTTAACTCCGCTGAACTCTTGGAGATGGCGATGGACAGAGAGACAGTAATATAAGTAATATCATTTAAATTAAGAATGTAATTTGTGAATGTTTCCGTCGCATACACAATACACAAATGCATCATAAATGCATATATAATATGAATGTATCATTGCCAGCTAGTTTTCCTCCTGGGCCCCGTAAAAAAAATTACTTTACTTCGTGTGATCCCCACCATGACATTTATACATTTTCTTACTGGCAAATCTTCTGGCATTCTATCTGACGTATCTTCTGACATTCTATTTGACATTCTATCTGGCATATCTTCTGGCATATGATCTGGCATATCTTCTGGCATATCTTCTGGCATTCTATCTGGCAAATCTTCTGGCATTCTATCTGGCATTCTATCTGGCATATCTTCTGGCACTCTATCTGACATATCTTCTGGCATTCTATCTGGCATATCTTCTGGCATATATTCTGACATATCTTCTGGCCTTCTATCTGACATATCTTCTGGCATATATTCTGCATATCTTCTGGCATATATTCTGACATATCTTCTGGCATTCTATCTGACATATCTTCTGGCATATATTCTGACATATCTTCTGGCATATCTTCTGGCATATCTTCTGGCATATCTTCTGGCATATCTATCTGGCATATCTTCTGGCATATTTTCTGGCATTCTATCTGGCAAATCTTCTGGCATTCTTCTGGCATTCTATCATTCTATCTGGCATATCATATCTGGCATATCTTCTGGCATTATCTTATCTGGCATTCTATCTGGCATATCTTCTGGCATATCTTCTGACATTCTTTCTGACATTCTTTCTAACTTTCTTCTGCACATTCTTTGTCCCATATCTTCCTACATGAGGTCCGGCAGGGAACACTGGGCGGGGATGGTCGTGGTTGAGGTCCGGCAGGGAACACTGGGCGTGGATGGTCGTGGTTGAGGTCCGGCAGGGAACACTGGGCGTGGATGGTCGTGGTTGAGGTCCGGCAGGGAACACTGGGCGTGGATGGTCGTGGTTGAGGTCCGGCAGGGAACACTGGGCGTGGGTGGTCGTGGTTGAGGTCCGGCAGAGAACACTGTGGATCGCGGGTCGCAGTTGAGCAAGGACGACGAGGACGACGAGGACGACGAGGAGGACGAGGAGGACGAGGAGGAGGAGGAGAGGAGGAGGAGGAGCAGGAGGAGGAGGAGGCAACTGACATAAAATCTAACAACCCTCACCTGGCAGGTGGGGAAAAACAACAGCCACGGTATGTTGCAGCACTTTCAGGCTTGAGGCGCGCTTGCCGCTACCTTGCTTCCCCCTAATGCGCCTGGAGTGCTTCATTTTCCAGCGAAAGAAGCGGAAAAGCGCTGCTGAGGTGATCGGATCTGATGGTTTCCTGTCGCGGAACTGAAAAAACCTATAGAGAAGCCGTATTCTTTGATGGAAAACCAATGGCTATATTGCATTGTATCTATTCTTGTGAATTGGAAATGTGGTTTGAGACAAAGGTGCTTTGGGATTTGTCATGTTATATATTTTTTATATTCCATTGTTGATTTTAAGAATGGCCATTGCTGTTTGTACCTCGGATTATGTCGACCACCAAGTTTTGAAAACGGTTTGGCATGGTCTGGCAAAGTAGCATCACCCGCTGCACTTTCCCTTGGGCCGTACCAAGCTACAGTTTTTGGAGACTTTTCCAGGTTGGTTGACGAGAGATTTCGATTTTTCGACTCCCAGGTCTACGCAGCTGCGATGCGTGTGGTGCTGTCGCAAGTGAAGAAGTGAACCTGTACCTTTGTCCTGCCACTTGGTGCTTGGAGTGGGCAACTTGGGCAACGCCCACTTTTACACGGACATTTCTCTGCTGTGCTAATCTCGTGTGGAGAGGAAGATTTGCCGAATGGTGCTCGTTTGACTCATTTCAAAATGCAGCAGAGATACGTATAATATCATTATATTCGTTCTTTATGAGTGAATGAATCATGGCCACGTCAACACGAAGTGCCTTTAAATGATGGTTCATAAAGGGGCATCATGGTATCATGATGTCCCGAAAGTGCCTCGTGGTCAGATTTGGACTTGTTGTGACTTCTGCTCGTTTCTGCCCCAGGTGACTCGCTGGTGGCGCTTTTGTTCAGAGGCCTGCTATGACAAATCGCTTCCACAGCAGCGCGCGCTGATGGATATACAGAGCTGTGGCATCAGGCGCCATGGACTTGAGGGTTGGGCCATGGATTCCATGAGGTTCCAACACTTGGGGGTGCAGTCTTAACAACCATAAGTTGGGACATAATTGCATAGAATTACATATATATATATACATAGGTTATATATATATATTTATGTTACTGTAAGCCTTTTAGCTATGGTTATCCATTCATAACTTCAACTGAGGTTCCAACGATGTTGACAAACCGATGTTGACAAATCAAACTATGTATACATACTATACATGGGTCCATGCCACTAGGATTTAAGAAAGGCCTTGAAACCCCCGAAGGGTTCCCATGATTTGTTCTGTGAAGACTGCCATTTTAGATGCTGGATGTTGAGGCAGTTCCCGTTTGCAATGGATATCCCTTTCCAGCGCATCTTTGATTGAGCATGATTAATCTCCACAGTATGCATTTGGATGCGCTTAATACAAGTTTGTTTTAGTTTGTTCCCCATTTTGGTTAGTTCATCTTTTCGGGAATCGACTGGGAGCAGTCTACTTTTTCATGCGCCCGTTTTGCAACTCCAGGGTACCCAGGCCCAACATCTCATGGTGAGTATTATCATGTTCGCCATCGAAATTGGCATAAGCATGTATAGGCGTTATCACCTGGGATACATTCCCTATTCGGTTGTAAAGAGTGTGGATTTTCCCACGTTCGGCTGGCTAGGGTTGACCTTGAAATTTGATGAAATTTCTGCGTCTGTAGCCTCCGCTTCTCAGGCAGGAACTCCCAGAATGGGCCACTTGGGAAGCAGACGAAGCTTGGCTGACACCCTTACAGGGAAACGGAAACGAAGATTAATCCCGAAATTTGGTGGTTCCAAATTTTGAACCTCTGTTGGAAAGAGGAACATTCGGAAGGTTTGCAGATCCAATGCAGTCGATTTTGAACTCGGCGGCGCCTGGTATACTGTACATTGCCGATAGCCTTTGAAAACAAAATGCATGTTCAACATTGCATATCATTGCATGATAAGACATTCTTCGTACATGGACCTCGTGTTTGTTTGCCACCTCAACTCCAGACAAAATGAGCCATAGCTGCCTGGCAGCTTACCGGTGCCATGCCGTGTCACCGTGACACATTGCAACGATGAATTCGACAGATCCCACGACCAGCGGCGCTGAGGAATGGGTCGAGTATGGCTCCAGCAGCAAGCAATGTGCTGCACTGAAACGCGCAACGCCGCAGCCCGAGTTGCAGTCATGGCGGCGACCAAAAGCATCGATCCGAATGGCAGGGCAACTGGGGTTCAAGACTTTTATGCATGATATATATATATATATATGTGTGTGTGATATGTATAAGCTTGCCGCAATAAAATGAATATGGGTTTGTTTGAGAATAAGGTTCCCCAAATATAATAAATACAATGCATGGTTGACTAATGATAGATTTCCCATTAAAATGCCGGTTTTCCCATATACCCCATCAGACACATCCAGAAGGGATTTAAAATGTTGTATTTCTGCATCTCAGAGGAGTAGAGCCGTAAGACAGTCGTCGATGCCGGCCATGCGCCCCAAGAAGCAGCTAGATGTGCACATCACGGAACCATATGCCCTTATTTATGACGACAACTACAGACAGCTTTGCCGAATTTGCTCGTGAGTTACTGTACAATGGGTTGTTGTTGCGACCCCCTTACACGCTAATGAGCCGCTGATGTTCAACCTGGTTATGGAGGGTCCTGCCACCGGATCCCGGTCCCAATGTTTTGCATCAAGTCTGTAGGGGGCAATCACCCTGTGCTTCCAATCGCAGGATGGAGATAGGCTTGCAGACACCCAACAAGTGATGGGGCTGTGTGAAATTGAGCAGAGTTTGCACGTTTGAAGTTGCAGGTGTCACCCATGGGTTTCAGCACAAGTGGGACTGGTACAGGGACAAAAGGCAGAGAAACATGTGTCGGGGTAGGAGTCAGATGAGCTTATCACAGTTGATTTTGCTTCGCATCAAGGATCAGTTCTTTGCTTTCTGCAAGTGGCCTGCTATCATGCGCAATGAAGCATGGGGCATGAAAATCCGAGGTCTGGAATGAAAACGTACCACAATGGATCGTCAAGTTGGCAGTTTGGGAATTGCTTTATTTTCGAGCATAGGGGCACTGTAAATATTGTCATTGAATGTTATTGAACTTAATTGGCAATTGAATTGAAGCCATTTGGCTCTGAGCTGGCTGAACGTTATGATATCATATATGATATCTTGATTTTTATTGGTCATCGCTTGGCATATGGGCCCATATCGTACTGACAGTACTCATTATGATCAAATCCATGTTGGCCTTCACAGGTGTTGATGGCACTGCTTGGTTCTTTGGCAGTTTTGTTGATTTCACACTTCAAACACGGTGAAGGAAAAGACCCTGCACGATACTGACGGCGCTGAGAAACCTGGGGGGTCCCCTTGCGCCATGGAAGTGCAAGTGACCACCTTGGCAGGCGACTGCCTGACCTTCCGATGCAAGCGATGGACCTTGAGGGATTTGAAGGACAGCAATACGCGTCTTTCCACAGATCAAGCTGCAAGCCCAACGATCAAAATAGGGACATGTTTTTCGGGCTGGCTTTTGGGGTATGGTTTATTAACTGGGCTTGCCATGGCAGCCTGAAAGCGACATAAAGCGACTATTTTGATATGCCAGGCTGGTGTCAAGAATTAGCACTCTTGACATGGCTGCGCTGGACCCAAATCTGCAGAAGCTATTTGCTTGTTTGCAGGTTTCTTTTCCAAATCTTTGGACTGAGTTGTGAGCAATTACCAATCATTTGATTCACCTACTATCACCCCAATTAACTGCCAATTAACATAGATCCTGAGAAGAGCCAAATCTTAGGGAAAAAGTCGTCTCCCAGCCTCCGAGTGACAGGGTCTCCGTTAATTATATAGCAATCTCCGAAACCATTTGTATGAAGCACTATTGAAGCGGTAGGACAGTTTTTCTTCGACTCATCACAGAAAGGAAAGTGGGAATTTGAATCACGAGTGAGACGGTAGAATAGAACTTTTTTTTGGGGGGGGTGCCTCCTAGAAAGGTTTAAAAAAGACCCACTACGGTATCAAACCAACACCCATTAAACCATATTAAACCAGGATCAATCCGTCACATTGCATCAGGACGCCATCAAGCGAGCGACAGGCATCCGCATGCGAGAGCAGCGGCTGATTTCAGGAGCGCAGGAGATGCACGAAGATGAGCTCTTGACAGATCCTTTGTATATCCGCTTATCTTTCTATAGGAAAATGGCCAGTTCTGCAGAAATCCCCAAGAAGCTCCAGAAATCTTTTTCGGACAGCTGATAACAAACGATCCATTGGAATTGGGGCATGCCATTTTAAAACATACCGACACGGAGCCGGCCAGATGTTGGTGAACTGGGTGGTTGTGTCTTGTGTCAGACCATGTCAGATCCAATAGTAAGATAAGATAATTATGCGACGTGTTTCTTCTCAATGAATCCAGAATGCCCAAACACAAAGCCTATGGATATTAGGTTTCACCATGTTTTACATTGGGTTTCAATAAACTCTTCATCATGAGGTTTTACCACTGTTGATGTTCTTTCCAAAAATGTTGGTTCAAGCCATTGGGCGCCCAGGATTTCACCAGATTCTCCGATGGTTGATTTAATTGGTATAGCCGCTAGCCGGAATATCCATGGTATTTACAGATAATGTTCCATTAAAAGCTCAACAGTTTGGGGATGTCCCAGCTGGCCATGTTTGATTGTTAGAGGGTACCTCATTACTCAAAAAAAAAACATTGAAACATCTAAGGCGTTTCTGGTAGGTCACCGACGTTGACCCCTCGCTGTGGCACTGTGTATGCCGCGGGAGCGTATGGGTGAGCTTTATACAAAAACACCATCCGGTAAACACGCTTGGCAGAGGAAAATCCAGCAATTCCAAATGATTTGCTTATTCAAATTGGAGATTGTCTATTGTCAGGTTTGTTTACTTGGGGATATTTTCCTTGTTTTCTTGCCAAGAAACACTTTGAAGCATCGAGGTTGTTCTTATCTTACCACAAGGGTTACTTTCAGACCAAAATGTCGTATACGGATATATGTATGTACATATATATATACACGTTACATAGGTTTTCCTGAAACAAAATGACCTCCATTCGAGGATTTTGAACACAATCCTTTCCCTCTCATATTGCGCACGCCCAGAAACCATGGTTTTGTAGTGGACTTGCATTTATTGGGGAAAAAATCATGGGGGTGTTTAATATTGGATGAGATTACACCTCAAGAAATGATGATTGAACACATCATATTGAACCTAATTAGGTTCAATATTAATCAATAGTAACCATCAATACTTGAAATGCACCTCAATCAAAAAAAATAACAAAGTGCATTTATTGAGTTAGATTCCTTCGACTGTCCATGGCTGATGGCTTCACGAAGCGTCCGAGGATGGGCTGCAATTGACCTTGATCCGACGTCCCCTGGAGCAGGACCGTTCCATGGGCTGGGAAGAATGTGACTTTGACCAATTACCCAGAGATGGTGATGTTGCAGGGAATCCTAGCTATACATATGATGTGTGTTTGCTCTGATGAGGCATTGAAGTTCCAATGTCATTCGATGTAGTTCCAGGGATCAATGATGGTCGGGGAAGGTGTTCCACCTCTGGGATAATCCAGCGATTGGGATAATCCAGTGATTGGGATAGTGGCAACCTCGACTTCACCAGAAATGAGGTTTCACAGTTTCACAGTGGAAAGATAATCAGTATGGGGGTTTGCATTTCGGCCTCAAATTACAAAGAAAATTGGGGTTGCTCCCCCCGGACTTTGTAGAGAAATCATGTCTTTTTGGAATCTATGTTTTCCAGCAATCATTTTGTAGAGATCCACGTGTTTCAGATAGGTGAGGTGGAGCTGCGCATTTTGTAGGGTCTACTCCTTGGCACTAAGAAAAGGATCCGGAATGCCATTTCCGCTACAAAATGGTATGGTCTGTGGCCACTAGTCACTATAGGCTCTATGTTAATGCTTTAGTAAGATCAGGTTTGTGACTTACACATGTACTACAGAAAAAGGCATGAACAGATGATTTTACAATCACACTCACCGCACATGTACAATATTTACCATATTTTCCAATGTTCCGTCTCTCTCTCTCTCTCTCTCCATATATATATATTTATACATATATTTATTTATTTGTATATATATATACAAGGGTATCTATACACATGCCTTTGCGTGTGCACGTATTTTGGCAGGTGTATAATCTTTTATGGCAGGTTTTGCCCCGTCATCATTGTTTTACGATGTCAGACTCCAGGGTTTTTGAACCTACGCACTACGCACCGCGCAGTGTGCCAGGTTCGAATCCTAGAGGATTTGGAGGATCGTGATGCGAGACTTGGCGGTATGTAGGAGGGAGCCTGAGGGTATGCGCATCCACATTCCCAAATGAGGAGCTAAGGAGCTACACTCAGAGATTCCAAACCACATGGTGAATTATCTTGAATTATCCCTTTAAAGATTCTGGTAATGATATTTTTTGATTGCCGGCTTCTTTGGCCAACTGTGTCACCCCAGGAAACGCGTATTGCAGAAGGTGCCGGAGCAGTACCGTGCAGACCGGGAAGTGATGCTGGCAGCTGCAGCGAGTGATGCCTCGTGCATTTCTTTGGCAGACAAGACGTTGCGAGAGCGACTCGTCTCCTATACACATGGCACCAGTGCTGGTGTTTGGTTTCTGGCCTCGTGTTTTTAGTGGGGTTCAGGATGGAAGTGCGCGAAAACATGTGTGAGCTGATTTCGCGGCATTTGGCAACTTTCCGTTGCAACTTTGGGGCTGTTGTAGGCTTGGCAGTTACCTTAGCAGCTCTTCAGATTGGTATGTCAGCGGCACACTGACCGAAGTCACAATATAATCTAACACTCATATAAACGCATCACAACGAAACATACATGCAAATATGGAAGTTGGATTCATATTGCCAGAAAAGTAGTGTGTCAACTGACGGCGTCAACTTTGCTAGAGCGTGGTTCAAGCACAGTCATTTGCTCTACATGTTCGCATAAGCTTTGCGCATTTCACGGGGTCCAAAGTGAGTCTTGATGATTCTACGCACGTCATCCGTTTTAATCAAAAAGAAATCTTGCGGAAAGCGAAAGCCGTTTAGCATCACATTCTCATTCTCCCTTTGGTGCCGGGATCCCAGGTGCAGGGACTTCATTTTGGCCGTGCTGAAACGCAATGGAGCCTGGATCCAATTGGCTCGTTGGGTTCATAGGTTATCCTGGAAAGATCTGGGTGCAATTGCGCAAGATCAAAGGGTCTAGTCACACTGACAAAGTGTCACGCAAGACCCAAACTGCAGGAAGATGTCAAGGAAGTAACGATGCCCACCCCGTCCCTGCATGCTTCCCTCCGGCCAACGTCTTCGCATGCCACGGTGGAACACGAACCAAAAATCAACTCCGAAACTCATGGTTTGATTATGTTTGATTGCAAAAAAATGCTGAGATTGCTTTGTGGTCCGGACTTGCAAACAAATCCAACAACGGTTGCTTCGGGATTTAGCCATGTCCAGGGTGCAGCTTCACCCGTGGTAGGAATGGTCTTGAAATTTCTGGATGCTGCGATGCAAGATGATCCAGAGCTGTGCTTGGCAGCTGTCAATCAGAACGGCTATGCGCTGCAGCAACCTGGTTGGTCCTGGTGAACAGATTGGTGGCCATGGATCTTGGGCAGGGTCAGGGACAGATCTTATCCGCAACTGATCAACTGTGTTCCTTGTCCAACACTGGTCATTTCAGCAAAGTGAATGGTTTCTCTCCAGTCTGATCAACCCCTGAGGTCCCTGGATATTACTGGTACCGGGACCGGTCGTTCAAAGTCCCTGACAGATCGTCCCAGGCATGTTGCAGCGCGCTGCCAGAGCAAATCCTTAGTCTTGGCTGCTGTGAGCACTGACGGAGCCAGGGGATGCTAGGGGGGACCACTGGTGGGGACCACTGGAAGCCAGAGGAAAATACATCAAAATGTGACAAAGATCTTTGTCTCCTTGGGCTAACTTAGGCTCCTTGCTTCCCTCTTTGTTGTTCTTTTGTTCTTCTTGTTTGACTGATTTTGACTGCCAGCCTTCCCCAAATCATCCCAAATCAAAGTCACCAATAAGTTGCAGTAGCAGAATACTGGATTATGGTGATGGGCTGCGATTTTAAAGGCCATTCAAAAATGAATGATTGCATTTTCCGTGCGCTGTACTTCGGGGTGCATCCCAGGAATCTTTAAGATGTAATAATCATACCATAGTCTATATCTGAGTTATACAATGGAGTATCCCAAAGATAAGTGGCTTCCCGTAGCAAGGGACATGAGCACCAAACCGTTTCTTATATGGGATAGCCCACTATATGCAATAGTTCCCAATATTTCCCCAATACTTTTCGCAACATTTCCCCAAACATACGGTGGATGGAAGAAATCCTGCACCAGTTGCGCCATGTTGCGCCAGTTGATAGGTGCTTTATCCCACTACTTATAGGGTTTCAACTTTGGTGGTGCAGGATTTCTTCCATCCACAGTATGGATACACAAGCATACATAAGCCACAACACGGGCACTAGGAGAAGCTCTGCAGTTCGCCTCGCAGTCCCAGCGCGCAGATCAGGAAGTGGTATTGGCGGCCGTGGAGCGTCTGGGTATGTTTTTTGTTTTTTTTTTCTGCGTTCCGTGGGATGACTTTCATGGGGATATTTTATCAGCATAAAAGAGAGGTGTTTGGGGATTGAAGCAGCAACTTCATGTCAAACATGATCAGACATGTGGATTTTAGATGATTCTGTATTCTTAACTGGCAATCGTAATAGTTATATAATATAATATAATATAATTAAATTGTATAATTATAATATATTATAACTAAATTATAGTTAATTGATGTCAAGCCATTGTGATCCAAGAAAACATAGGGGGCTGAATCACCATGAAATGGGATTTGACTAATATGACAACTATAGGTCGGTTGGAAGTGTCTAAAACTGCAGGTTCAACCCCATCCGAATGCTTGGACTGTTGGGCACAGCTTGAAAAAAATGTTTGAATGGTGGTGGCGGTGGTGACATAAAAGTCTGGACATGAAACAAGATTTCAACGAGACTCACCCTGACAAGTCCCTGACATGTCCTGAGATTCTAAGAGGTTTGGAAAACTGATCATGTGGCCACAGATGCCCACGGGTCATTTGAACACATTTTAACAGCTGGAGTGGTGTGTCGAAAGCATGCAAAAACGGAGGGTGAGGTTCCAATTGTGATCGAGGCAATACTCCTGGAGTTTCCAATATGCCACGGAAGACTTGAAGCTGCTTGTTGCGGCAGGTTTTCGGAAGGGCGCTACACCCAACAGATTCACCATCCGCAATTTGGTAGGTTTACATTTATATGTGTATATATATATATAAGATTGATTTATTGCAAGCATATTATATTGTATTATATATAACTGCGATGGTCACATTACCAACTAAATTCCACTAGTTTGATTGATTTAATGGTACCCTCCGGCAATCTAACATGACCATGCAAAACCACCATTCTTGATGGGTAAATCAGCTGCAAAAACGGGTTATTTTTCATAGCTTAGCATGACTGGTGGCCGGTTTCAGCCAGGTTCTTCTTGATGTCACTTGATGTCCATCCAGACGACCGGCAAGACAATCCCACTTCACGAGTGCATGCAGATAAGATATGTATGTATTTATATGATATGTATATATATATATATGTGTGTGTGTAGAGTATACCCCCCCGAGATCTACCTGGAAAACTTTTTATAGATACACACAGAGATACATATACATATGCATAATTACATTAGATTTAAAGAAAGCAGGTGGGACCTCAGACTAGGGTTTTCAAGTCTGAACAGCTGTCAGACTTGGGATCTCAAGTCTGAACAGCTGTCAGACTTCGGATCCCAGGGCCGAGGAATCCAAGATCCGAGATTTTCAAAAAACTTTTCTTGGATCCAGGGTTGAAAACTTGGATCCAAATGGTATTGCTGATCCAAGTTTGAAAATCTTGGATCTTGGATCTGGATCCAAGATTTCTGCCCTGGATCCAAGAAAAGTTTTTTGATAATCTTGGATCTTGGGTCCTTACAATGTCAGACTTGAGATTTTCAAGTCCTGAGCTCTTTTCATACTTGAGATTCTTAAGTCACAGAAACTGGAATAAAATCAAAAAACAAAGCATGAACTTCAGACCAAAACATTCTCTGGAAAGTTTTGGTGTCTGTCTTTTGTGGCTTTATCGAGGTTTTGTTGCAATGCATATTCACATCCTTTAAGAGTAGCAGCAGTAGGTTCAGCAAGATATTGCATAATTTTTCAAATGTGGCTGGACACCATCCAGGTAGGTGCCTTTTTTTGGCTGATGTTCTCATGGTTTGAGCACCCTCTCAGAAAGTCACTTAAAGCCATGGAAAAAATGCAAGACAGCCAAGACTAAAAAATATAACAAGTAAACAGGTTTCAGCATTGACTTTGCGGTTTGCCGTTAAATGAATGGAGTTATTTCTGAAGAGACTTACAGCTGTGCAAAGCTATAAAGGAGTGCAGCATTTCTTTGAAAGGAGTATAGAGTTTTTTTCAAAAAGGATTACAGCTGTGCAAAGTTCTGTTCAAGAGGTAAAGGAGTTATGGAAGGACGACAGGATTACGACAAAATGGAATCCTTTAAGTACTGTAATACCATTTTAACCGACTATGGCATTCCTTAAAGCAGGGTTGGTGCAAGTATCTGCAAAGCCTCCTTCACAAGGGAGAGAACCATTTGATTGAAAACCGTGCGTTAATACAACAAAAAACACATTACTTTGAAGTAGAACCCTTGGGTGTATGTAGTATTTTTTGAAAGGTACATGTCATGGTTGTATGCATGCAATATGCCCGCTCATATGGGTGAAACGCCTGAACAAGTAGGCAATTTCATTTTGAAGAAATTACGTCTTTCCTTTAACGACAACTGTCATTCAGAAAAATGAGAGAGAGGCTGAACTTCATAAAGGATGTATTGCATCTTTCCACATATTTGATTTTTTTTCTGCCAGAGTGTTGCTTGTTTATTTAAGGAAAACATTGTCTTCAGGGCAATTATTTTGAAGAAGTTAAGTCTTTCAATAAAAAAATGTCTTAAACGGAAAATGAGAGGAAGGCTGAAGTCCATAAAAGGTTGTATTTCATCTTTCCACATATATACTTTTTTGCAAGAATAGTGTTTCTCATTCAAGGGACTATCTTGTCTTGAAGACAGACTGTAACCTGTAAGCAGGTTTTCCTTTAACAATCTTTCTTTTAAAGAATGCTGTAATGAGCATCAACCACTGCACATTTTCACAGCAATACTCAATGTTAACCACACACTGCATATTGTGTAGGAATCTGGTGTTTTGAAAGAAGTACTGTATGATTGGCCGAAGACTGAGTAATTTCCTGAAGGGAAACTGCACTTCTTCAGAAGGAACACTGCATGTTTAGAGGAATGCTCTACATGTTGTAGGGATACTGCTTCTTTGAAGGGGGTACAAAATTTGCATGATCAAACTCACCGCATAATTAATTGAAGTATGCAGTGAGTTTCATCATGCATGTCTCTGGAAGAGCATCAAAGGTAGATTTTAGGGGGGCTAGCACACACACACACATATATATATATATATATTCTTCAGATGACTGAAGACCACGGGCAGTTTATTTCGGTTTTAAGATTGTTGAAGAATGTTTGAGAACGTTTTGGATCGCAGGCCTCGTTTCTTCAAGAAATAGATGCATCGCTGGGAGTTATTCTTTTCCGCACGACTGACTGAGACCTTTTGAGACTCCATCAGGACTGCGTCATGCATTCAGTTGGATTGTGAAGGGAACTACTTGTCCATACTTTTCCAGGACGTTCCCTGCATGAAACGGGTGATGTTTCATGGGATTCCCTGGATTTCCCTAGGGTCCTCGTCTGGGGCCCCAGCCAGGTTCAACCGTGAATTTTTGCTCCTGACCATGGCTTGCAACGGTCGAGCGCTGCAGCATCTGAGCCTCCCGGCCGGAAATCGGGAGCGGCGAGGGTTGCGCTTCACGGCCTTGGTCCCTCACCATCTTCCCCTCTAAAATGATGGCTAAATCAATCTAAATCACCATTTTCCCAATAATGGCTCAGTCAGTTAAACCACATGTTCTCTGTTTTCCTCTCCTTATTCTATCTCGCCATCTACCTATCACAAGCATAGCTGAGAATTATTCACCGGGTTGCTGCATCGGGCCCGCGAGTGGTGACGTAGGTGATGAGTGGAAGAAGGATCCTGACATTGTTCTTGCCGCGGTCTCGGAATTTCCTGGCGCCTTGCGTTTTGCAGACCCAGAGTTGCGGAGCTGCAACTGGGCAGCATTTGACCCCGAGAGATTTGTCCAAGAAATCTGTGTGATTTGGCACTGCTGGAGATGTGGAACATGTTTTGAGATGTTTTGTGTGGGCCAAGTCTTGCCAAAGGCGGGCTGGAACTGAGCGGATTTGTTCCATTTGTATGAGCGCCGTTGTTGTTCTGCCCCGGTTGAAACTACACTGATGCAGATCTTACCAAGACCCATGGCAAACATTGGCAAACAATGATGGTTCTTATCCCAGCTAAACATAGCTCAACCCCATTGAACTGGTACACTGCTTGTTTGGAGCATAGCATATTACAACACGATATCAACATGTTTATTTGCATTATTTTGCATTTATCTGCCTACTTTGGTTCAGATTGGAATTTCTTTTGAAACTCAACTTCTCCGAATCATATGTACCCATCTTTGTTGGCACTCATACTTCCACGTGATTCGAAAACTGGCAAACAAGGCCCTTTCCATTCCCTGCAGGCAAGCCTTTCGTCTTGGCTCTTTTCCAGCGAAGAGCGTGCACACTGAAGTACCCTGTGGAAACTTGCCAACAGAGCTGTGGTGGGACGCCCTTTAACCAAACCACAGGTGACCCAACAAAATTATGACGATCATTATGTGATAGTTTGTACATATGGCAGTTATATAACCATATCTAATAGATTATCTTTGAATTTACGTTGGATTTAATCCGGTAAGCAACTGTAGTATGTTTATGACATCTTCAATTGAAGTCTTCAAAGGGAGCGGTTTATACTGAGCAATCAGGATTCCAGTGAAATTGGGAGCTATGAACATGCGAGGTGATGACCATGATCATGCTCGGAGTTCCCCACATGACTATTTTTGGAAATATCTCAAACCCAGTGCTTGTATAATGGAGTCTGATGGATTCTGATGGATGTAGAAAGAAACTGTTATATAGATGGATCCAAGGAATAGCCGGCGGCCACAACTTGAGGTCCTTTGTTTCAAGTTTGAAGGTGCCTAATCAGATCAAGGTGAAAACAAGGATGCATTTGAAATCATAAAACTTCGATAAAACTTGAAAATATATACTCAATTGATGAGCCCATTGTATCGGATAGCTGTCGGAATGAGCATTTGTGTGAGTATCGGCTCAGCCTGTATATAGTGTTCCCTTGTAGTTGATACCCATCAGTTTGGATATACATATGCTTGGCTTGCCAAACGTTTCTTAACCAATTGTTTGGGGTTGCCTAGAGGCCATACACTTTTTTTTTATTCTTGGGATGAATCATGAAATCATGAATCATCCCAATTCGGGGATTGGCACAACATGTTGCTTCAATCGATCATCGATCCCCCCAAGGCCCCAACAACTGGTTCTAAACTAATATGTGTTACTATGTTTTGATGTCTTTTGAATCATACTTTATGGATCTTTATGGATAATATAATGCCATAACAAACCATGGTTTTCCTATGTTTTCCTATTTTTCCTCACCAGTTGATGGGCGCCCCAGGAGGAGCTTTGGGAAGATCGTGACTTCGTCCTGCAGGCAGTGCAGATTCAGAGCTCGGCATTCCAAGCGGCCAGCGCAGCCTTTCGCGGGGACCCAGAGATTGCCATGTTGGCGGTGCAACGACATGGTCACCGGACGGGGGACAGAGATGGGGAACCGGTGTTGTCCAGTGATGCCCAATTTCAATGGTTTATCCCCTCCTGGGACTCTGGGACTCTTGGTTGTTTTCTTCCCATCACTAATCAATACCCCTCAGAATTCACGATATTTACGGCTTTTTTAAGCATCTGACGCAGTCCCACCAATCACAGGACCATTCAAATCATTCAAGGGATATCAGGTCATGGGCTGTTCATGGCCATTGAGCTCAGGTTATACCTTACAATTTGCCTCCACTGAGCTGCGTGCGGAAAAGAAGATCGTGCTGGCGGCGGTGCGGCACCTTGGAGCAGCAGTGAACTCTGTGGCTGCAACTGTGAACCAGCAAGAATTGGGTTATATTCATGACCATTTATAACCAACAATCTTTTTAGGATGTACTGTAATGAGATAATTCTAATGCAGATGAAATAGCCAAGAATGTGATATATGGGCCAGGTGCGTTTGAAATTTGGGTACCCAATTCCATCCACTGGTCAAGGATCATTTCTGCATTACAGTTGCAATTTTGGTGGTGTAGCCAATTTTTGGACAGACCATTCCTTGGGCATGAAATTGGGTGTTGAGGTAGGAGGCACCAGGGAAGGCCAACTAGATAAGCTTGTTCAGACATGTTTGTTCATGGAGTGGATTACGAGATTTGCCATTACTGCATGCTTTGAACGCTGGCTATACATACTCAAACAATATTAAACAGAACAAAATGATCAAAATGTTCATGTGGTGCTGCAGCGGTGCTGGTCAAACTTCAGATTGGTATGTAGTATAGGTTTGGCATGGTTTGGCATTTATTGAATGTTTGAATTCCCGACATTTTCTCTAGAGCTGGCCTTGGAGACTTGCGATCTTGTTGGGCTTGATCGTCCAAGAGCAGATCAAACCAAGAGCCAGCTGCTATCATACATTCCTGTCTAGCAGTTTCAAAGGTTGTTTTCCAATTTTCAAATATGTGTCAACCTACAAATTGGGGATGTTGACCCCAACTTGTAGTTTTCGACATGTGCTGACCGATCAGATCCTGTTGTGGAAAACCGGCGGTTCAACACACTGCTTGGCAGGCAATATGCTTCGGCCTTGGCATCTGCTCCCAAGCTCCAGGACTTGGATGTTTACATTAGATGGACATACAGTATGTTGTCAGCTTTATTTAAAAAAACAAATCATATAAACATAGAAAGGCTCCGTAACCTGCAAAAACCATGCCAATTGCAGATCTGACAAATTTAAGGGGCTTGCAATGATAACAGAAAGGCTCCCTAACCAAATTACCTTGGGAGGTCTCCACCTGGCATAGATTCCGGAATTCCAGCTGGCACGACTGGATCTTTCCTTGGCACCAAGACCGGGCAGCATGGGGCACTGTTTGGTTGATATTTGCTATGGTCAATTTTGCTTGCACGACACTCATGAGCTTTGAGTTTTCTCAAGGCAGAAGTTCAGCTATTGCCTCTAACAGATGCATCATGGCTGTTTTTTTCCTAAGGTACCGTTGCATCATAGTCTTGAGGTGGTAGCTGGATCCAGGTTGAAGGATTGGCCGGGCCACAAGCCTAGCAGAGCGCCGAGCTTGGAGGTGCATTTGGCTCGGAGGCAGACATATCAAGGAGCATCAGCAGCAGCATAGCAACGCATAGCAACCCACTAGCTAATTCAAGGTACCAACGCATGCAAGGTACCAATCGTAGCTCGCTGATATAGCAAGGTATGACTACATATTAACCATATGGTGCCACGCCCCATATGATTGCATGGAGATCTCTAAGCTCCATAGGAAAACTGCAGATTGCACATTTGCTTCCGTAGCTCATTCAGTATTTGTTTCTCTTTGCCTTTGTCCAAGCCATGAGGGCAACTTCCACTGTGGACGACTTGCGACGCTACTTCGAAATCTTCTACCGAGAGGGTGGAGAGTTCCAAAGTGAAGAGTATCAGGACAGCGAGGAGTTCGACCACTCCTGGAAGCATCTTCGAACTGGCATCGTTGTTTGGAAAGATGCCATTGATTTGTCATCAGGCCCAGGTGCCAAGGTGTTTTTTCACTACACAGAGGAGTTACCTTTCAGAAACATCACGGCCCTTGAGAAAGAAGCTGCGGAGGTATGGGCCTCACTGAGAACAGAGGGAAAAAGTGCAAACGCCTGGTGGGGGCGTGGTGTACAGCGTCCCTAAATCTCCAGACCAATGAGCAGACCGAATGGAACTCTTAGATAACAATTTCAGAAATATGATTAAGAGAGATTTGGAACTTCATGGTGAAGTATATGTGAGGAGAGTGTATCCACCACGTGCATCGTTCTGCATTCCTTTGCTCATCGACCCAGAGAATGCCTACGACATTTCAGTGAGGCCAACACCTGAGATGGAGGCAGCGGGAAAGCCACCCGGCACAAATCTGGGTGAAAAACTGTTGATGTTGAATGAGCCCGGGCAGCCAGAGCGCTGCTGTGTGGTTCTCCGGGTGGCTGGCGAGGACGGCGTTGCCAATGCTCGATCTCGCCTGTTAGATGCTCTCCACACACGCGAAGCGGCTGCTCAGACTCCTGGCCTCAAGATTGCTGCGAAAGCGCGTTTGGGAACAGCTCTGCGGATGCAAGGCTACTTCCCGGATAGCAAGATTTTGCTGAGCGAAGTTCTGGAGGACCGTGAGCGCACCCTCGGTGCGGACCATCCTGACACCTTGGTCTCAGTCAATGGCCTGGCAGCTTGCCTCAGAGCCATGGGCCTGCTGAAAGATGCAGAGCCGCTCTACAGGAGAGCTTTGGAAGCCCGTGAGCGCACTCTCGGTGCGGAGCACCCTGACACACTGGTCTCAGTCAGCAATTTGGCAGTTTGGCTCCATGCCATGGGCCTGCGGAAAGATGCGGAGCCGCTCTTCAGGAGAGCTTTGGAGGCCAGTGAGCGCACGCTCGGCGCCGAGCATCCTCACACTTTGGTTTTTGCCAAAAACTTGGCAAGTTGCTCAAGGGCCAGCTGTATCATTTTGTAGCTGCCTCAACATGTTCAGGAGGTCATGGCCGTCGATAGACACGAGTCAGGAATGCCTCAGCTTGGCTTCGTTTCGGTAAGGTTTCACCGCAAAAAGGCACTCAGTGTCCTGACCTGATCATTTGAATCTGAATTCCCTTAACATGTCTTGTGTCCTATGGTGAGGGTCATATATAAACACTCCTGATTTAGGTTGATATGGTTGATTTAGTGGTTTATTCAATGGTCCATTCCTTGATGTTAAACATTTTTAATACGTTCCTTCGTTCTTCATGTTTTTTGTTCTATTTCGATTCGTTTCGCCGACAAAATCCATGGCCGCCATGGCAGCACATCGCCAGGAGGACCGAGAGGTGGTGGAAACAGCTGTGCGGCGGAACGGCTGCAGCTTGAGATATGCTGCGCAAACCTTGCGAGAAGTTGCTGGGACTTCGACTGGCGCATCGGCAGCTTTAAAAACCCCAAATAGCCCGACATTATCTGTTGTGGGTTTGAAGTCAAATGCTGGCTTGAGGTCAAATGTTTGGGGCTCTAGATTTTTTTCCGGGGACAAAGATGGCCAGAAGAGAAGGAAGTGTTTAGGTCAGGCTGCTTTTTTTTCTTGGTGGTTTCTGTATCCAAAATGCCGGCCCTTATCAGCCAGTAGATTTGGAATTTCTCAGATGGAATGGCGGCGGAGAGATGGGAACATGGCAAGAGTATATATTGAGCACCTCGGAGACCGTGAATTTTGAATATTTCAGCTACCCTCTGGTAAAATAATATAGCTATTGAAAATTGCCATTTGTTGTTGATTCAACCATCAAAAATGGTGATTTTCCATAGCTGTGTTTGTTTAGAGGGTACTGTGGATGTTTTACTACATGTGGTCTAGTTACTAGTTTCAGAAGGAGCAAGCATGTTTCTTCCCTACCTTGACAGGAGCCAAGAATAAAATTGGATGGTATGGGTTCTGGGGAAATCTTGCACCTCCGTGGCTTCCGCATGGGTCCTTGCCAATATGTTTGATGATTTTCCCAAGGGGTGAAACAATGATTCAACGGTATTGTTGTTTCACGCCACAAGGTGATAGACATAAAATGTTCTGTTTCACTTGGTTGGTGGTTTCAACCTTCTACCATTGGTCTCCATACCCCCAACAACTTTTGCATCGAAACCCAAGGTTTCCCGTAGCCTCCCCTGGATTTAAGGATGTGTTGTCACCTTCCCAGAACTGGTTCAAAGATGTTCAAAGATGTTCTGAGAGAGTTTCGCAGGAGGCCCTTCAGATTGATGGTTGCCAGAGTTTCCCACAGATTTCCTGATGAGATTTGCCAGGTTAATTTCAGGAATTGACATCTGGTTTCATGACCTTTTGATGACTGCAGCTGCACTTTGAGGACAAAGAAATGGTGCTACTGGCAGTGAGGCAGGCTGATGATCCCTATTAAGTCATACTTTTCATGGGGAGAGATACCAGCACCAGGAAGGATTCAGAAAAAATGAAGCCCTTGAGGAGTTTATAATGTTGTGCGTGCAAGGGGGGCGAAAACAGTGCCCAGCAAACAATATGTATATATATATATATATACATACACATATTACATATATATATATATATAGACATAGATAGATCCAGTATAGATGTCAATACATGTCAAAACATCGTCCTGTTATTGATGACTGTCCTAGGTCTTTTTTCTGCGATGTTCGCCATGGCAAGGCAGCAGGGCTTTGCTTTGCAGTTTGCTGGGGAGCGGCTGCAGTTGGACCAAGAGGCCTGGGAGGTGATCGTCATTTCGCCTAACTCGTCCTTAATTATAGAGACGTCGACCAGGAAAACCATGGAAAACCTAGGTGAATATAGGTGAATGTCGAATCCAGCTAAGCATTTGTAAACGGCAGATGATAAACCAAAGGTTGTTGTTCCGACCATGTTTGGTCCATTTTGATAGAAGTATATCCGTTAGCCCTAGTAACAGTTGAGTCCTGGAGTTTTCCCTTACGGGAGCCCCCACAAAGATAGAACAGTGAATCCGTATACTATATAATTTGATGATGATGATGTTGTTGTTGTTCTTCTTCTTCTTTTTTTCCTGACTTTTGCTATCTTTTTTTTGATCTCTCTGCTGGTTTGCCGTTTGTTCTGTATGTCTTTCCTGGAATGTGTCCGGGGCAGACGTTTCGGTCCAAACGCCCCAAGTGGCCCGTGGCCTGGAGTGGGGTGCCCCTGGCTGGGGATGGTTGCGCAGCCATGGGGGGAGAAGGTCGGGGAGACAGCGCCGGAGAAGATGAGCGCATGGTTCAGCTTGGCGTCGGCTGCTAGCCAACAAACCATAGAATTACAACCTATATAAATATATAGAATGAAATATAAGCCATTATGACATGGTTACAGTATGTTATAGTATAACAATATATACAATACATGGGAGGCAACTTATATGGTTATATCAGTAGGCTATGTATATAATGCGATATCATACCAAACTAAACGGGCCATCTATACATAGGATGGCGATGGAGAGAGAGATCTATACATTGCCAACTGTTAAACTACTAATAGAGATCTATAGAGGCTATCAATCATCCCTATTTTAATCCCGTGGACGAATGTCGTAAACCCAATAACAAACAATCCCCAAAATCAGCATCAGTTGGTGGTATGAACCATCCCCAAATGGTAGGTTTATTTTTGGGTTGCCCAAAAAAATGTATGCATAGATATGCATAGTTAATAGATACAGACCACGGTTGTTAACCAGCTACCAAATGAGAATACCTGTAACATTTGGATGGATCATAGCCGTCACAGTCATACACTCAAATGTTTCGTCTGGCTGGTGGTTTCACTTCAACCATGATGATCCCGGGAATTATTTTTCAGGGGCAACCACCAGCCATGCCAGTGCGTGTCTTTTGGGTTAGATGGACTCACAACACAACCAACTAAAAGTAACATTTTAGCATGGGAAGGAACCATCAAGACCTTGAATGTGGCGAAGTCATAACGACCTCACTGTGATGTCACTGTAAATGATGCGTGGTATAGCGAAGTGTTCCAACATGACCTTATTTCAGACAAGTGACTTATTAATATGGGCAAAAAAGCCGGCAAGAGACCCCAAACAGTTTGGGGAAGTGGGAGGAGAATGCATGATAAGGTTGATGATGATGATGATGATGATGATTTTGATAGTGATGATGTGGTGATGATGATGAGGAGGAGGATGATGAGGATGAGGTTGAGGATGAGGATGAGGATGAGGATGATGATAATGTCGCGGACGATGTTGTTGAGGATGATGATGTTGAGGATGATGAGGTGCAGGGTGATGATGATGTTTAGGATGATGAGGTGGAGGAGGACGATGTTGAGGAGGATGAGGATGAGATAGGATGAGGATATACTGCGGAAGATGAAGTGGAGGATGACAAGATGGAGGATGATGATGTTGAGAAGGAGGAAGATGATGATGTTGAGGATGAAAATGTTGAGGAGGAGGATGACAAGGATGATAATGTTGTGGAAGATGAGGTGGAGGATGATGATGTTGCGGTAGATGAGGTGGAGGATGATGATGTTGAGGATGATGATGTCAAGGGGTAGAAGATGATGATATTGAGAACGATGATGTTGTGGAGGATGATGTTGAGGAGGAGGACCGATCCCAAGACCAGGACCCACACTTTGTGCGAGCCTGCGCGGTCGAAATGCACTTGGACATTTGACAAGAGCCATTTTGTGCAAGAATTTACAGGTAAAATGCCGCAGACCAGCTGGATCCCAAGACCGCGGCCCGCACTTTGTGCGAGCCCGCGCAATCGAAATACATTTTGGGACGTTATTTTTACAGAAAAAATACTGGTTCCAAGACGGCGACCCACACATTGCGCGAGCCTGCGCAAAATCAAAATGCATTTCACAAGAGCCATTTTATCAGGGAATTTACAGGAAAAATGCCGGAGCCCAAGACTGCGACCCACACCTTGTGCGAGCCTGCCCAGTCGAAATGCACTTGGACATTTCACAATAGCCATTTTACGTGAGAATTTGCAGGAAAAATGCCGGGGCCAAGGCCGCTACCCACACTTTGTGCACGCTGTGCGGTCGATATGCACCT